TGTCAGAATCAGTCACGACTACGGGATTTGCATCTTCGGCCTTTCGGTCTAATATCCACAGTCCCGAAATGGCGGGGCCCCCGGTTCCTTCGCGCGCCCGTCCTTGGCCAAACCTCACCTCACCTCACCTCATCTCACTTCACCTCGACCTCACATCAGGCCGGAGAGCGGCGGCACAGCGAGGGGCTTTGCAAGAGACGGCTGGCATGATGTGTGGGTATCTTGGTGTTCCCATGTTGGTAGTGAAGCATTCATATACATTTTGCCATGGTATGAAATGTCTACCCTTGCGCGGAGCCGGCCACTAGAGGTCCAAGGGGTACATCACGAGCGTCTGCGGCTCTGTAAGATCCTTTGATCTCGTCGAGTCTTCATTGGTCCCATAGAGGCGGACCCTGGAAGAGAAGTGCAAAATCAACTACCGCTACGGTAGCTAGTTACGGCACAACTTGCCACCTCTCGTCTTTCTTTTTTCAAAGCCCTAGAGGCTAGAGGCGTTTGCTTCATGGAGCTGAGGTACCAAACACGGCCCAGAGCGTCTCTCGTCGGTCCCGCCCTGGCGCAGAGAGCCGTAGGGAGACAGCGGCTGCATGCGGCGCCTTGCCTGCCCAGCGTCCAAAGGGCATCGGCGGGCTCCGGGGGCTCCACCCGACACCAATAAGACCATTCTACCCCACGGCTGCCGGACCCTATCAAGCGATCGGGTCAGTTCGGCCAGGCCATTGGGCCGCTCCTTGGTGGCCCTTCCCACCTGGCATCCCCGACCCGCGGGGCCACCCTTACACGGTACGTACATCCCAGCAGCTAAGCAGAAGCTTGCAGAGGGCAAACATTGCGTGCCGATTCAAGACGCGACTACGCTATCTATCTGTGCTGCTTGCTGGTGTATCTCCGGCCCGGCTCTTGTCTGTGGTGGGTGACGTCCAACGAAGCTAATCTGAGAGTGAGAACCTCAACCATTTCCTTCTCTTGGATCTTGATATAAAACCTATCGCCGCCCCTCTGACCTCTTCTCTTGTGACCTTGCTCTTGTCCTCTGTCTCACCATCATCAACTAACAACCATCTCCTTATCGGTGCTTTGCCTTGAAGTCTATCCGTATCTTGAGCTTGAACCCCTTGGCAACTCGCTCTCATCCTCGCTCCTCATCTCACCACAACATCCCATCTCATCTTGTCTATACGATACCATCAATCTCATCCGTGATACCCCAAACCCCTACGTTTTGTTCACTTTACTCATTCTCCAACCTCACAAACCCACACACACAACTTCACAATGGCCGCCTACCTCGCCTCCGCCCGCTACGGCAAGGACAACGTCCGCGTCTACAAGGTCGAGAAGAACGGCAACACCCAGACCGTCACCGAGATGACCGTCTGCTGCCTCCTCGAGGGCGAGATCGAGACCTCGTACACAGTCGCCGACAACAGCGTCGTCGTCGCCACCGACTCCATCAAGAACACCACCTACATCAAGGCCAAGGAGAACCCCGTCAACCCCCCGGAGCTCTTCGCCTCCATCCTCGGCGCCCACTTCCTCGAGACCTACGCCCACATCCACACCGCCAACATCAAGATCGTCCAGCACCGCTGGACCCGCATGACCATCGACGGCAAGCCTCACCCGCACTCCTTCTTCCGCGACGGCGAGGAGACCCGCAATGTCGAGGCCCGCATCTCCCGCAAGGACGGCATCGCCCTCACCAGCGCCATCCAGAAGCTCACCGTCCTAAAGTCCACCGGCTCCGCCTTCCACGGCTTCGTCCGCGACGAGTACACCACCCTCCCCGAGACCTGGGACCGCATCCTCTCCACCGACGTCGACGCCGCCTGGACCTGGAAGTTCCCCGACCTGGCCGCCGTCCGCGCCGCCGTCCCCAAGTTCGACCCCGCGTGGCGCGCCGCCCGCGACATCACCATGAAGACGTTCGCCGAGGACGAGAGCGCCAGCGTGCAAAACACAATGTACAAGATGTGCGAGCAGATCCTCAACGCCGTGCCCGAGACCCTCTCCGCCTCCTACTCGTTGCCCAACAAGCACTACTTTGAGATTGACCTCAGCTGGCACAAGGGGCTCAAGAACACGGGCAAGGACGCCGAGGTCTACGCGCCGCAGTCTGGTCCCAACGGTCTTATCAAGTGCGAGGTCGCGCGCAAGCCCGAGACTGCCAAGTTGTAGACGCAGGCTTGAGGTAGTGAGTGAGTGAGATAGGGGTGTAGACTGAGGATGATCGAAGAGGCTTTCCTATCAGAATCCATCGAGATTCGCCACTTGCATTTACCGGCGTCCATGACCTGGTCAAGCCTGGCCGGGTGTTTTTTATAGTAATAATGAGCAATGACTAAGAATATGATAAACAATCTAAAATGTTCGTCTCCTTGCGGATTTGCTGTGATTCGACTAAGAATGCTTACCCGACTTTATGAACGTCCAGAAACTGGAGCAAGCCGAGTTTCTATGAAGCTAGTTGTGATGCTACAAATCGAGGTTTCTAGGAAAGGCAGAATGCTTCTTACTTATTTTCTCTTCTTTGCGATCTGTGTGGTAAATAATGAATGCACTCATACTACCATGATATTCCTAAGCTTAAAATGTAACAGACGTCATGACGAGCGGCCATCCTTTGATACTTTACACTGGACAATAGTATTGAACAAAGGATGTTTCTACCACGTTTTATATGTGGTATATTGCGAGAGATAGTTCGTCGATTCGAGGCAATTCCAAGGTACTCAACAGAAGAGACGATCATTCATTTGAAGTGTAAACGTACCGTAGGAGCATCGGCAAGTGGCGATACTCGTGGCTTCTCGACAGGCAACAAAATTCAAAGATAAAATATATTCATACAAACAATACGAGGAATAGTAGGAAGCTGAAAGATCAAGTCCTCACATAGTTGACATTATCACCCGTGACGGAGCATGCCCAGTTTACATATTTAACGTCAGATTATCTCGAGTCACACTTGATCACCCCTCCTCCTGTTGATTCCTGCCCTGCTCTTTCTCTCGCCTATACTGAGGACTCACAAAATACCAATGCTCAGGTAGTAGTAACATGTTCGGTATCTCTTTCAACGGGTGCGATGTCTCTCGAGAGCCTCGAGAGTCTCCGGTGGATTGCCCAACGGTGTGTATGTCAGGCAACCAAGGATTCCCATCCCATGACCGAATCACATCAACGACAACCAAGACCCAACACTCGATAGAAAACGCCGCCACATTGTAGAGAGCCATTGGACTTCATAGTTTTTTGAGAATGCCCGTATTCGTACAGAATATACACGCCGACTCAAGACGGCTATACTACAACGTCTCGCTCATCTTCCACCCTCCCTACCGCTTTTCAACCTCCCTCCACAGTTAGGTAATGAAGAGAGAGAGAGACATCAGCAGCGCCCCCCTGTTCATATCCTCTGCGAATCCGCCTCCCGAATCGCCTTAACCTGCTCCTCCCACCCCGTCTTCCCAACAGCAACATCCCCAAACCGGATAACATTCTGCTTATACGGATGCGCCTCCCCCTCGAAAGCCTTCAACCGCGCAAGCCTCTTCTCCCTGAGCCTATTCTTGGGCAACATCCCGCTCACCGCCTTCCGCAGCACCTCGGCACCGCCGTGCTTCTCCATCAACACGTCCATCGTCACCTGCCGCAGGGATCCCGGGCGCGTGTTGTGCCGGTAGTACGTCTTTTGCCACTTCTTGCGTCCCGTCACGTGCAGCGCCGCGCAGTCCGTCACGACGACGTAGTCGCCGCAGTCCGTCGACGGGTCCCAGGTCGGTTTGTGCTTGCCCATCAGGATCACGGCGATGCGGCTCGCCAGGCGGCCCAGCGAGGGCGGGGTGACGCCCGGTTGGGTTGAGAGGACCTCGTGCGGCGCCGAGGCGGAGATTTGGTGCCATACGCGGGAGTAGGAGAGGCGCGTCTGGAAGAGTTGTATTGTGGTTAGTTAAAAGGGTTTTCCGATTCAAATTGCTTCTTGGGAGGGAAAGAGGTATGATTCGATTATGGGAGGCTGGAAAGGGGAAAAGCTCACCAGGCCAATGGTTTGCGACATCTTGAAATGTGTTTTCTGGGCCGGCCGCCTCAGCCGACGTTCAGTATCGTTGTGGTTTTTTTTTTGGTTTTTTTCGCGGACCGAATTGGTCAATCGGACGGTTCTGGCAGCGGTTAAGCCAGCGACGATGTCGTCGTCGGATCTCGGAAAAGGGAATGTCGTCGTCGTCACGCGTTTTTGGGCGTCGTTGGCGATCTCCTCGACAAGTAGGCTGACCTGAGCTTCTCCCAAAATTTTGGAGCCGGGAGCGTCCTCACGTGATGATAATGATAAGCCGTCCCAGCTCTCGGTGAGGTGCATCCGACCTCCAGATGGCGCCAGCTGGTTATCCCAGTAAGCCCCAGCTGCAGAGATCGAGCGCCGACTTTGGGCCGATGCTCTTCAACATCAAATGGCCCGAGCGTTCTCATGGCGGGGCAGAAGATGGCAGAAAGCAATGAGGCGATGCGATCCAATTGCGCCGTGCTTGCTCGCTGTCCGCTGGCCGCGAGTGGGAGGGAGGAGGGGCAGTGGACGATTTCAAAGCAAAAGCCCAGATATTCACTTCCCGACGACGACTCACTCCACGATGGGCCACAAGTATTAAACCCGCCTATGCCGAATCATCCCATTGAATCGACTGCACGCAACACTACAATTTACAACTAGCAATGACCTCGAATTTCGGGATTTTGTGAAAGAGGGAGTCTTCAGAGTCGAACCCGCAACAAAGCAACATACCCTGAAGCCTTTTTTTCCCGAGAACGACAACTCCTCCTCTTTTTTTATTTCAGGAAACGGGAAACTATACTACGCAACTTCTTCATCTCAACTACACAAACACACGGAAAAGGGGTCCAAACAAGGACAGAGCATGCTCTATTGCCTCCCCGACTTCATCCACAACTACCGCTCTCTGCTACGAAGCCCGCCGCAGCCAAGCAGACGACCCTTCACCATGACCGTCTCATATCCTTTTCAGGTCAGTTCAACACAGTTTATCTCTTTTTCTCTATGCCGTTCTCCGTCTCCCGTCTCCCGTCTCCCGCCTGGCCCTCTTTCCCGCTCGTCCGCTTTCGCGCAAGCAAGTCCAGTCAGGAAGTCAGTCCACTTCCCCCAAAAGTCTCCGTCACGGACACGGGACCTGACCGAGAGAGGACTCTTGTTCCTCCATGCTCGTTCGCTCGCTCGCTCGCTCCGTCGTCGGTACGGTACCGTCCCGTCATGACTGACGCAATCCGGCGTGGGGGAGGCCTGCGTATGAAGGAGCCTACCTCAGGAAGAGGGTCCATCTCTCATCAGCACACACAAACACACGGCCTCAGCACTTTGCCCAGCTACTACCATTGCCCTACAGTTCAAGTTGTACAAAATTCTACAAGACACACAGAATCGGGTGGTGGTGTTCACTGCTCCAACTGAATCAAATGTGCTAATGAAACGTTTGAAATTCCCAACACTAGACCGTTTTCGCCGTACCCATGACATGTGACAGCTGCGTCAAGGACGTTTCAGACTCGTTGTACAAGCTGGGGGGCATCACCAAGGTCGAGGCCAATCTCGAGGACCAATTGCTTTCCGTCGAGGGCACAGGTACGTCGTCTTCTGCCGCAAACTCTGAAAGCTTTTTTTTTTCCTTCTTCTCTTCTTTCTCTTTGCCCTTTTCCAAGTATCCCTCTTTCGGCTCATCACTGTTGATCCCTTTCGTCAATCAAGCTCCTAATCCGTCCACACCCCCTTCCCTGTCTTACACCCCATTCGGGTTTGTCCCACACGATGCTTTGAGGCTTCCCAAGCTTGCCGTTTTGACGGCGCCATCCTGTTGATCCTCTGAGGATGTCACCCATTGTATTCGCTGCCTTGCCGTCAACCTGTCACGGGGGATGATGGATAGGCTCAAAGATTGAATGCCTTACCGTTTGAAAAAGAAAAAATGTACCTGCCGCTAACTCTCTTGGCGACGTTTTGCAGCCGCACCATCAACAATTGTTGACGCCATCCAAGCCACGGGGAGAGACGCTATCCTGCGAGGCTCGGGAGGATCAAACAGTAGGTCAACTGAAGCCTCTTCTTTCCCTTCTTGGCTTTTCTTTCAAGTCAAACTTATTTGTCCGCATTTCCTGTAACCCCTTGGCGGACATTAAGTTGTTTCCTGATACCACCCAACTCGTCTTGTCACACCGGCAGTGCTGTCGGCAGATGGGGAGTTTTGGGTTGTTGTCGTCGTCGTTTAAACTCGCTCACATGGTTACACCGGACTTCATCTGACCGCTGACTCACCCACGTCCCTAGGTGCGGCTGTCAGCATCCTCGAGTCTTTTTACCATGCAAATGATGCGCCTTCAAAGTTGAATGAGCAGCGAGACCGAGAGGTCAGGGGCCTGGCTAGAATGGTGCAGGTCTCCCCGACTACAACTCTGATCGACATGACGCTACGCGGCGTTGCCCCCGGCTCATACCGAGCTACAATCCGTGAGTACGGTAACCTGGCGGGGGGTGCATCATCGACGGGCCCTGTCTGGTCGGAAGGCAGTGAAGACGCTACCGCCAAGGGGTTCTTGGGCGTCTTCAACGTCGGCAAGGATGGCAGAGGCAGCGCCTATCTCGACAAACCTTTTCAAATCTGGGAAGTCATTGGCCATGCCATGGTCGTCTCGAGACAAGATGAGTCTGCAGTGGCGTTGAAAAATGACCCAGACACGTTAGTCGGCGTGATTGCCAGGAGTGCCGGCGTGTGGGACAATGATAAGACGGTCTGTTCATGCACCGGCAAGACGCTGTGGGAAGAGAGAAAGGACGAGGTCGAGAAGGGTATGCTGTAGACTTTGCGGGAACCCATCAGATGATGTATAAGAATGATCATGAAATCAACGAGAGATTTTCAAAAAGTGTTTCTTGTTAGGAAGCTCGGTTGATGAGCCGGATAGGCTTTATGGTGATCACCAGAAGCCACGCGTGGAGTGGCAGCCACCATAAACAATATCGTACGATTTTTGCGATGAACGTAGATTTTGGGCTGCGTCTGCTACCTCAGGTCAAGCTTGGTGGCCACGGCTTCCAGAATACTGACAGGCAAGATGCCAGGGGGTGCCGTGCTTTGTGGTGTGAGGAGTCCGAAGAACCGCACCATAGTCGGATTTGACAATGAGGCTGAGCCTCTCCAATGCCTTGGCATACTGCCCGCCCCAAGGATGAGGTTCAAGGACTCTCGGCTAGGTAGACAGATTCGCGGACCTGGAGTTGCAACTTGGGTGACGGGGCACTTAGACTCTGGGGTCTCGGTAAGGTTGCGGGTTTCCATCCGTTGTCACAGGCCCGTATATGTTAACCTCTGTATGCCAAGCTTTCCAAGGCTTGTCTCGGTCAGAATTTTCCGCCGAGTTCTTGATCGTCTCCAGGCGATGGGACAGATGGGACAGCGGGGCCAGCAGAAGAGATGGAGCATCTGTTCCCAAGGAACGGAGAGGCCTGCGCCAGAGGAGACCAACAGACATGGCTTCAGCGTCGGGCTTGATGCAGATCATGTTAGAAGAAACACTGACGACGGTTCCGGGAGATCCCCCCCACCGATCGAAGACCGGAAGGAGGCGGAGCGCGGGTGACAGGTGGTAGATGAGACGAATACGTGTTGTAGTTGAACAGGGACCAGAGGCGCTACCTTATTTTGCTGGATCGCAGGGGCGCCGGGACCGCCTTGCCGTGATAAGGGCCCACTATCCGTAGTAAGGGCGTGTACGCAGATGGCATTACACAAGGAGGCTGATGCTGCAGTGCCAGTGAGAACTTGGAAGTGGCCGACATATACGTGCAAAGGGGTCGATGAGTGGAGAGGATGGCCGAGCTTGAAACTAGCTTAGGTAGGTGGTAGGCAAGCTTGACATCGGATGCGAGAAGTGGTGGTCTGTACGTACTCCGTACAGATCGAGTAAGGCTGCCCCAAAGATTTGGGGCAGTGGCGGCAGGGGAGTTGAAGCGTTCGTTGACGACATGTCTAGGCTGATATTGACAGAAGGTTAAGTCAGTATGGCTCCTTGAGTGCCACAATAAAGCCATTGCGCCAAAGTGTATCGACGAGTATGATGTACACGTGTTTGATGAGGAGGCTGATTCAAGAAACAAGAGTCGAGGGACAACTGAGTCGAGACTCTTGGGCAACGTTTGGTGGTGAACATGACAAGTGCCTGCCGGAGCTCTCTGGAGAGAGTTGCATTGCGGGCTTCGGACCGTGGAGGTTCGCATTGAACGACGAGGACAGCGTAGATCTTGCCGCGTCACGGGTGGATTCATCCGTTCAAAGGGATGCCCAGACTTGTGACACTTGGGGAGAGAGGGAAAGATAGGGGAGTGGAGGGTCGACAGCCGAGCAAGTAGCAACTCGGAGCGGAGCGTTGTGGGTGGGTGCCGCTGTCTACGATGGCGCGGTCCCGTCTGTGTGTTGAGTGCATCGTGTCGAGTCACCTGGGCTTGCCTTAGGGCCACGATAGGATGTGGTCGAGGCGGTTGCTGCGCTTCGAGGCAGTAGACAGGATACTGGGTAGACCAGCAGACGAGAGACGCAAGGGCTGCGGCTCGATGACTGAGGCGACTCCTCAAACTCGGCCGGATGCTGCGTGGTAAAACAAGGTGAAGTTCGTAGGCTTGACGTCTAGTTCATGCGGCGAAGTGGTTGGTGGTCTGGGCAGAGTCGCAAGTCGTTCCACACCCAAAATAATGTGGAGAGTGACATTGCCCTAGCTGCGCCAACGTTGCAGCGGAAGCTGCCTCTACCCAGATCAAGGTACCTTGGCAGGTGTGTGTTGATCCTTCGAGTACGAATACTTGTCTAGTACCCGTACGAAGTACACTACCATTTCCTCGTAAGGAAGTCAGGCACGTCACGATAGTGTAAGGTAAGGTAAGGTAAGGTAGGTAATGTACGGATAGCGAAGAGGAAGAGCGTGCCCCCTGCACATAAGGTAGACGGGACGTCAGTGGGGGCGCCAGCACGGGACTTCCAAAACAGCCTGAAGGACAAGCGAGTTTCGCAGACTCTTGAGACTTGGGACTGGCAGGGATAATTAGAGTTGGAGATGGTTTGGCTGGGTGTCACGGTGTCTATCCGTACCTTACGGGTAGTGTCTAATAACGATAGGGCGATGCGTTTCTGGGGGGGTTCCTTGGAAAGGGTCTTTTCGGCTTCGGTCCTTGGGTTGTAACTTGTCCTGAGAAGGGATCCTCTTGTCACTGGCAATGCAAGTCATTCTAGCGAGGCCGCATTTTGTTCTTTTTTCGTTCTTTTTGGAAGAAGCTGCGTGGGTCCTGGCTCGTGCTTGCTGTCTTCCGTTGCTTGTACGGAGGAAGTCGTATTTGTCCGGCGTGCCTGCTGTCTTACATCATCTCTAGTCTCAGTACGGGAGTCAGAAGGAGAGACAGAATCTGGACTCGATTGTACCTTACGTTACGTTATTCATTCCTTCCCCAGAACAGCCACAACAAGATCACGTTTCCCCTTGGCAAGATACGTACTTGGACAATGTGCCTCTTCTTGACGGGCGGGAGGAAGGAACGCCTGGCATGGATGTTGGGTTGACATGGCAGTGGCTTCCGACGGGACACTGGCGAGGCAGGTACGCTATTTTGTTAGTCAAACGTCAACGACGTGTGGCTGAGCTTATTGAGCCATAGAGTATCGGATGCCTAGACTCTAAGGTAGAGAGGCTGACGGCTAAAGCCAAGTCTCCTTGACGCATCCTGGTCCTTGCTGAGTGGCCCTGATCCCTCGACCTCACGATGCCCCGACTATTATCCTTCTCCCTCCCTGCTAATCCGACAAATCTTACTGTGTCAACTATTGCGAATTTAACATAGGCCAAGCATCGACTCTGGACAACTGCACAGACACCGCTGCCGACATCGACGCCAGTGCCCCCTCGCCAGTCAGCGACGGTCCTACAGATGCCTAGAACCACTTGCGGACCCGCTGCAGATAAGGTTGTCCAAATCCTAACCCAGACTGGATGAGATGAGCGATGCCCCGGACAAAACACCACAAAGGGGAATGGCGAAGAAGCTGGAGATGAACCTATTCCCTGCCTTGGCGGTCTCTTCTCCTTCGAACCCGACCCCGCCATCCGGGCAATCTACAGACAAGAGGCTTCGCACAACTCGTCACACCACGATGGCCTCATGATATGCCAGAATCAACCGAGTGGTACATCACCCCCCGTTTTGTGCAAATTCCAGTGCTGTGGGATGCGACTCCCCATGCAGGAACATCATCCAAAACTGGTACGAATACAGCATGGACTGCCGAACCTGCGCGCCTGCGCCGCAGTCTCGCAGATGTCTTGACTTGGGCTGAGGGGCCTCTAGATTCTGTACCATCAACCCTCGGTTTCCGTTGCCGATCCTCGTCGACCAAAGACAGCCCACCATCTCCAGAGTCCAAGGTATTGTGATACCACAACAACCGCCTAGAGCTCAGATATATGACCTACACGCCTCCTTCGTTGCGGCACCTTGATTCGATCTGGGCTGATCAATTTGTCGGACGCCAATCTGATCGAGCTGGGCCTTGGTGGTTGAATGATGAAGCATACCATTTAACGAACGGAGAAACTTTGGTTGGAAACGTCCGGACGGGTCGGCCTGTCCAACTGGCGACATGTCACCCGCACCGAGGCGGCCAACGTTGCCAATTCACCGGGACAACCCAATCAGAAAAATATCACCGGTGCTTTAACTTCTCCCATATGCACTCTGCAAAGAACGGCACTTTCGGAAGATGCTATTTTAGACAGCTCAACGTCATTCATTCCCCAGCTCCAGTGGACTGGTTCAGACCATTTCCAGTATGGCGGCCTGCAAGCACTTACACCTCATCCACTTCTCAACCTCTTCTCTGGGTTCGCAAAAGCAACTAAGAAGAAAAACCCCGGTGACTGAACGAGATCGGACGGCCCTGCAGTTGCAGTCACCTCTACAGCATCTCCATATTCAGCCACGAGGCGTGATACAGCTGCGAGCTGCGGGTTGCAGTCACGGTTCACTACGCAGTAGTACGAGGAGCACGGCTTACAGTTACCACTGTGAGTGTGTGATCAAGGCGACGTTAGTCACTCCTCTACGCGCCCTTGGCCCCTGGCAAGTTGGTGGCTCAAAGGTCCGGCCCACGACCCGTATTCCTGGGGGCCAATCAGGCACATCTCGCATTCGCTGGAACGCTTCGTGCATGGGAAGCGACAGGCCCTGATTCGCAGTGGTTGCACGATGCCTGCGACACCCAGCATTAGTGCATTGCCGTTAAGGGACCGCTGCGTCTTGCCCAGCTGGAATGCACACAACGGGACAGGACTTGAGGGCACTGAGAGAAAGAGTCAATCGTCGTCAGCGTCCCTCCCTCGAGGATCAGGAGAGCCAGACAGTCCAAAACAGCCACTCCCTTGTCAAGCCTACCGCAAGATACGCAGTATGCGATCTGACCCGCGACGCCATGACATGGACTCCGACTTCCTCCTGGCCCATCACTCACTGCCCAGGCGCTCTCTTACACCCCCCCCGGAACGGACGTCGGATAGGATGCCCAGACAAACCAGGGGTGGCTCCTCCAAAGGCGAGGCACAGAGGGCCCGAGGGGATCCCAACGTTCGATGTCCAGCATATTCACAACCCAGCATCTGGCGACGAGATATGCAAAGTGGTTCGATTTCGAGAGAAAACACTTGATTCTGTCACTCAATTTAGACAAGTTTGTTTCCTTCCGCCGAACGGAATACCTTGTCGAATACCCAAAGAAGGATCTGCGTGGCTGCTTAAAGTGTTCTGGGACGACGTCTTGGGGAAAGTCGACAGACGGGAGATGATCTCTCTGGCGCCGAGCTATTTCACAAGTCACAACTGTGTGCTCTGTACGAAGTGTGCCTCTGGAGGGCTGTACTGCACTCGCTTCGAACACAAGTATCCGTACACGTTTTGTCACCGAGGCAGATCCTGTAATGGCCAAGATCGGTTGCACAATTCGTCTCTCTCCCAAACCCAGGCTGGGCGTGCGAAAGGCGACCCAGAGACACCGGAATTCTGTTGCAACAAGATACACGCCCCCTTCATCCACCGAACTGCCCAAGCCACTTGTTCCGGGCCCTCTGCTCTCTACACCCCCCTTCCAGTGTCGACACTCGACAGCAAGAAGATCAACCCCCTTGGATCCCCCTGCGACTCACAACTGGACGAGCACCGGAGCACAGGCATCCTAAGCGTTTCCTGACTGAGAATCGAGTTGGAATATCAATCACTGATGAGCACCTTGCATGATATACACCCAGTCTCGCGGCCCACAACCCGACCAGTCAAGTCCCCCTTGGTCCCTCGCTGCAAGCACCGACTCGACTCTATTTTCTCTACCCTCCTTTCCGTAGGCGCTGGCTTTTCGTCCTCCATCCATTCATTCCCATTCCTTCCCTCAAGCCCGGCTGCAAGTCTGGTAATTCCATCACTTTTATTCTTGTCCACATCACACTTGCTTCCCACATCTGTTCCCAAAGTTGGACCTTGCGAAGCGAAGACAACCCGACCTCGAGACTGTCCTTTCTGACCCGCAACTCACACGCAAGCTTCCCACAGTCGAACGACCGTCCGAGGTTCCGACTCTAATTAACGCACGATTCTAATCCGAGAGAGGACCCGCGCCGAACGACGCAGACTTGGGCAGTCTTGGTATCTGGTCACCTCTGGTCACCTCTCCCTCGGCACACACGCACACGCACACAGTCACAGTCTTCGTCGTCACAAGCAGGACAGATAAGAAAAGAGCACGGATTCTTGGACTTGTTCTTGAAATAGTAGGACTGAACAGGAAGAGAGCCCAGACTTTGATAATACAGGACGGACTGGCTTCGGACCCCCCTTTTGGCGCCTAGTCCGACTTACATACTACATATTACTGCGGCCTTGTCCATCCACCCACCACCTCCACAGGAACCAGGACACACAGCCAAAAAGGGCCATCCCATCCACCCCCCGACAACTTAATCCGTCTTTCGACGCACAACATACACAAACCCGAAACACCGTCCTACTTTTGGCATCTGCTTCTGCTGGCCAGGAACGAGAAAAGAGCAACTTTATCAAGTTACAACGTCGAGTTTATCCTACAGTTGGATAAACCCTCTTTTTCGCTTCTGTCTCCTCCCCGCCATCGCATCGGCGGTTCTTGCAGAAGCTTTCGGCAAATCGCCAGACGGGGCCAGGTATCGATTCCTGGTGTACCCGCCACGCGCCAAGATCTCCAGCTCGTCGCCCAGTCCGAAGCGTACCCCATTTGCGGCTTCTGGCTCATTGGAAGCGGGGGTAACACTCCAACCGTCATTTCAGTGGCGCCGAGCACCGCACGGTCGACAGACCGCCAGCCATCTCCCTAAATAAGCCCTGGGGACCCTCTCTAGCCGCCCGCGGCGCACTTTGTTGTTGCTGTTCAGGTTTGGGTCGCTTTTTTTTTTGGCTTTCTTTCCTGCAGCAGTCGTCGTAGTCGTCGTCTTCAGCCGCCGTTGTCCACGTCCGCATCGCAGTTCCCCACGATACCCTTTTCTCCCTCGAATCTTGTCCGTCAACGATCCTTCGAACGCAGCAGCAATCGTCTGCTTGCGCAATTTCTCGACTCGCGATTTAGACTTGGTATTTTGATACTCCTGGCCTGGCGACAAAATGTCATTGAAACAGGTACGTGCTTTGCGTCGGACAGCGATCAGCAATCGCCCAACCTGCGAGACCCGACAGCCCAAAATGGGTAGATCTATAAACATGTCACTGACCACAACTGTCTCTTACTACAGGAAATAGAAACGTGGGTGTCGGCCCTTGGCCGATACGACAACAATGAATTCGACGAGGCCCTCAAGGACTTTGAGAGGATCTCCGACACATCAAAAATTCTCTTCAACATGGGTGTCATTCACGCCACTCTGGGAGAGCACGAGAAAGCTGTGCGTCGTCTCCGAACCTAACACCGAGGTCTTGGCACTAACGTGCAAAAAACAGGTCGAATGTTACCAACGAGCAATCAAGCTGGACCAGTACCTCGCTGTCGCCTATTTCCAGCAGGGCGTCTCAAATTTCCTGCTCGGCGATTTCGAAGAGGCATTGGCCAACTTCAATGACACTCTTCTCTACCTACGAGGAAACACCATGATCGACTACGCCCAATTGGGTCTGCTCTTCAAGCTTTACTCTTGCGAGGTGCTCTTCAACAGAGGTCTCTGCTACATCTACCTGCAACAGAAAGATGCTGGTATGCAGGATCTGTCGTACGCTGTCAAGGAGAAGGTGGTAGAGGACCACAACGTTATCGATGAGGCGATTCGTGAGGAGGCAGAGGTAAGGATGATACTAAGTCGAATATTGTACAGTGCTCACAATTTCTCAAGGGTTACACCGTTTTCTCGATCCCTGTCGGCGTTGTGTACCGACCGAACGAAGCAAAGGTTCGCAACCTGAAGACGAAGGACTACCTTGGAAAGGCTAGGCTAGTCGCCGCCTCCGATCGCGCGAACGCCTTCACAGGCTTTGCCGGGTCCGAGATCAAGAATGTAGGCAGATCGGGTCCCATTCCAATCAGCTCTTATGGGAATTCATTTGCTAATCACAGACTTTTTGGTCTACAGGCTGGCAAGAACGACGTCAAGGACGACAGACCATCTGATAATATTTCATTCGCTGCCACCAACCTAGTCAAGCCCGGGTTGGCCTCAAGAAGACAACAGTCCGAGCCGCCCAACGGCCGCGGTGTCTTCCCTCCCACACCTCCCCCTGACCAGGTTGAGGCCAACAATGGCGGCGCCATGTCCCGTGGACAATCTGTCCGCAATGGGCCCAAGCCGATGCTTGCGAAGTTGAACATCGAGAACTCCAGACCCAATGAACGGTACCAGAAGACGAGCAGCCCCAACGACCGCAGAGGACCTCCGCCCATGATGAGATCCGAGTCACGGTCGGCAACTCCCAGCAGAGGATACTCGAGACGCGACTTGCAAATGCGCGGCCGGCCTGCTGATGAGGAGGCCGAGGATGCTTACCCTGATGAACTCTACGACATGTACCAGAGCGGCGGTGGTGGCAACAGCACAAGAACCAGCCGGCAACCCTCCCGCCGTCAGCAGCCCCAACGGTACATGGATGAGGAAGACGATGGCTCCGACTATGGCTCCTTCGATGAGGGTGACTTCGAGATGGTTTCCAACAACAACAGACGCCCAGGCACGAACTCAATGTCCTCCCGCGGCGGCTCAAGGAGACCCGAAGTCCGCAAGATCCGTGTCAAGGTACACGCCGAGGATGTTCGATACATCATGGTCGGCGCCGCAGTCGAGTTCCCCGACTTCGCTGACCGCATCCGTGAGAAGTTTGGTCTTCGACGACGGTTCAAGATCAAGATCCGTGATGAGGATGTGCCGAATGGCGACATGATCACCATGGGTGACCAAGATGATTTGGACATGGCGATCATGAGCGTCAAGAGCCAAGCAAGGAAAACGAGGCAGGATATCGGCAAGATGGAGGTAAGCATCACCCCAACAACTAACCACTTTGCCATTGGGACACAAGACTAACTGAAATTGCAGATCTGGGTCCAAGAAATTATGTAGACGATTATACCCCAACCAAGCCTGTGACGACGTAATGACCAACAATTTGCTCGCCCTGAGCCCTGCAACCTTTCCTTCATCTAGTAAACACTTTTTATACTATTTTTTGCTGCATTTACGGATGGATTGGTTGTAGACAGGGCGTCTAAAACGGCGGAAAGTAAAAGAGGAGGATAGTTCGAGAGACAGAGCCAAGCAGAGCTGGCTCAATGGCACCCCCACGGCCGCGAACGACATGATCATAGCGTTGCATTGTTTAGAAACTGGAACAGTTAGGAGGCGATTGGCGTGGCGATAACACTTTTGTATCCCCCTACGGTTTACCATCTCTCCTTGTCCGATATAATTTCTACCTCATCTACACTGTCTTGTTACGAGATCTTGTCCATCATCTACGAGATCGTTGAGAGGCCCGCAACACCAACATTAATGCAACCATCATTGCTCACTACGCTCCCTTTCTGTATATGTGTGAACGACTTCGTGCGAAAGCAAGCTTCCGTGAAGCCATGGGATTCTAGGACGAAGGCGGCAATTCTCGTTATCTGCGTGATGGAGTCACGCCAAGTAGAGACAAATGAGCTCAAATTGATCACGGCATTTTTTTTTTGTTAGAATCTCCATCCAGTTATCACTCGCCAATGATGTCAGCCCTTTCGGGTTACAACATCCATGGCCAAGTCGAGTCGGGCAAGCTCACGTGCGAGTAGTATGCTTGATCGAGCAACCTGATTCACGAAGCTTTGAGCATGGACGACCATCAGCAAGCATGGTAATCTTTTCTTTTCTCGATTCAAAGCCTGGGATGGGCAGAAAATATTACTTCCAGACGAAACAGCCGCAGTACACACACACAGTCTATCCACACACACAACCTAGGTATATCGTACAAAACCACCTCACATCAGAGTCGTAGATTTGCTTGGTTTAAAGCTTCCCCGCGCGCGCAATGACCAACACCCCCAGACTCTCCTCCCCCACAATCGAAGCGCTTTCTTGTCCTCCTACACTGGCAGAGAAAGTCAAAGGTTTTTCTTTGCTGCCTACAGTCAGGTCCAGCATGGAGAGAAATGGAGAAATCTCTCCGATGCTGGTATTTGCCTAGTTTGCTTGCCCTAAGGGGGAATTCCCATCCCTCGATTCTTCGACTACCTACTATTATGCTCCTCACTGCTCAAGGCAGAGCTCGAACCTCGCCATGGTCTCAGCCCGGCCCAGGAGCGCAAGCTGCAGCTTAGCAGGCTTCGCGCCGCGGTTATGATCGCCCGTGAGCACGAGACGCAGCAGCGCGTAGGTAGCCTTATTCACAGCCTTTGCTGGCTTCTCGGGGTCGACGGAATCGGCGTTGCGGCTCGCGAAGTCGTTGATGGCGGACTGGAGGCGTTCGGAGTGCCAGTCGAGCTCGTGGACTTCGCGGAGGGAGGCGTGGAGGTCTTGGAGGAGGGCGTGCGGGGAGGCGGTGGTGTCGGGGAGGGAGAGGTTCTCGAGGGAGTGGGCGTAGGATTGCGGGGAGGGGCGGAGGAAGAGGGAGGGGTGTTCGTGGATGAGGTCGAGGGGGTCTATGGGGGAGTCGAGGGCTAGGGTGCGGTAGATTTGGAGGAGGTGGGATGGGGATGTTGAGGGGGAGGCGAGGAGGGGGGTTAGGGCTGTGAAGTCTTTGGTTAGGAAGAAGTGTTTTTGGTTTGTTGGGGAGGTGAGGACTGTGTTTGTGGTAGATGGAGAAGGAGGAGGTGGATGCGCCTCGGTCTCGGTGGAAGGGGGAGGTGAAGGCTGGAGGAGAGATGAGATGTGTGCGAGGAGCTTGGTTGTTGGCGGGAGGAGGGCCTGTTGGAGGAGCTCTTCGTCGGGGTTCTCTTCGCGGAGGCGGTAGGTTAGGTGTTTGCGTTGGAAGACGGCGAGTTTGTCTGGGTTGGTCTTGATGTTGCCTTTTGTGAATCTCAGGGAGAACTATTCGCAAGGCGTAAGTGAGTGTTCATCGAGTGATTCTTTTGTCGACAGAAGAGTCGCAAAGCCGAGCGAACGTGATACAAAGAGGGGGCTTGATATGGAATGAGGAACTCTTACCTTCTCAGCCAGATCGCTCGTGGTGTAGAACACCTCGCCCCCCTTTGCGAGGTCCTTCTCGTTCATGCTCCAGCCCAGCAGCGCGAGCCAGTTGTTAAGGGCAGAGGGGAGAATACCCTTGTCGCGGTACGAGGAGATGTCAATGTCGTGGTTGCGCTTGCTGAGTTTCTCGCCGTTCTGGGCGCATAAGAGGCCGGCGTGGGCGAACGTCGGGGGTTCCCATTTGAAGGCGTCGTAGAGGGCGATGTGCTTTGGCGTGGATATGAGCCATTCCTATTATCTGGTGTGAGCTACACTTATGTTTCTTTGAGGATTACCTGAGAGCGAATGGGCAGGGTTTTCAGGGGTAAGAAAAGGGGATAAGGAAGGGAGGAGAAACGCACAGCACCGCGGATGACATGGGTGATCTCCATGAGGTGATCGTCGACGACATTGGCAAAGTGGTACGTCGGGTACCCGTCGCTCTTGATGAGGATGAAGTCGTCTTCGTCCTCATTCTTCTGGTAGTTGCCGTACACCTTGTCCACGAAGGAAGGGCGGCCCTCGCTGCGGAAGCGCACGACGTGCGTCTCGCCGTTGGCGGCGCGCCGATCGGCCTGGGACGCCGGCAGGCTCCGGCAGGTGCCCGGGTAATGCGCCGAGCCGCCCTCGTCGAGGGACTGCTGCTTGTGACGCTCGAGGTCGTGCGCCGTGCAGAAACAGCGGTAGGCTTTGCCCGCATCCAGGAGGTCGGCGATGTACTTTTTGTAGTAGTCCAGGCGTTTTGACTGAGACTTGTTGTTAGACTGGTGTGTTCACAAAGAGGAGGGAGAAGAGCCAAGCTACTTGTTCGTAAGGTCCGTATGGTCCCCCGATGTCTGGGCCTTCGTCCCAGTTTAGCTCCGCCCATTTCAGGTCTGCTAGGAGACGCTGGACGGCATCATCGACGATGCGAGTCTATAGATGTCAGTGGGTGGATCTCTATCTCTTTCGGCAGTAGTCTTTACGTACCCGGTCCGTATCTTCAACTCGGATAATGAACTGACCGCCAGTGGCACGGGCAATGAGCCAGTTGAAAAGCGCGGTCCTCAACGATCCCAGATGGAGATATCCCGTGGGCGAGGGGGCGAACCGCGTTCTGGCCGGTTTATCGGGCAGCCCGTGGAGCTTCTTGTCGGCCAGGGGCGGGAGCTTCTTCCTCAGCGCCTGGAAGCCGCTGCTGTTGCCGCTGCTCTTTGCGGACGAGCACCATCTCGGGTGCGAGCCCGCGCGGCACACATCGAATGGGCGCTGGAAGAGGGACCGGCCCTGGGATCTCAGGGCTATCATTGACATGATGGAGACATTTGTTCAATCTTCATTTGTTTGGCGTTTGATGGATGAACTGATCCGGGGGGTGAAATTTGTCGATGAGCTTCAGCCACGTGTGGCGCGGGTGGGAGATATGCATCAAGCGAGATACTGACTTATACGACAGCAGTGGCTTGTGCGCATGTTCCAAAGACTTCTCATCACAACAATGGTATTAATATACTTAATCCATTCCAACCCTTCTTGTAGAACAAGCAAACAAAGCAATCGGTCATAAAATTGCTATTAGAAGGCACTGAAATGCGATGCTTCGCCGCAATGAGATTTCCTACCAGATATGTGGTGTAACATGAACGGAGCAGGTAGTATTCATCTCAAGAATCTCGAACGGTTGCTAGGTTTCACATACTCTTCAGATGACACCATCAACATGATCTGAGCAGTTTGTCCGAGTGCCCGTCCGAGGACTACAGCGGTTAGTAGTAAGCTGCAAAGGCAGAGTTTGACAAGGCTCTTGTTCACGGCGGGTGAGCTCATCAGTCCCTACGGAGTCTGCTTTTCGGTAGGTAGCCTCGGGTTGATGCCAACCCCTGTGACTTGCTTGTGAAAGCCTAGCAAGCGGTGTTGGTCAAATTCGGGCTGGGAGTGAGACTCCAATTCGTCATACAATGCAACGGTATACTAGCCTGTTCTTCTAAGTAACTGGCGAACTCCGTCTCAGTTGGTGAGAGTTCCTATTGCAAGTATCTTCAGTCTCGGCAAGTGTCGGGGTATCTACGAGTAGACAACCTTAAGCCAGCAATAAACGACGGGATCCTAGTGGAGGAAAGCGGTAGTTCTCAAGGAATCTAGATATGTACCAAGGTAGTTGGACACCGCCTTGTACAACCTGGAAAGGAGTGGATGTTGCTGATGAACAGGTGCAGGCGGATAGGCGGCTGAGGGGACTGGGGCCCGGGCTGCTTACCTACTTTAGTGTACAAGGTACCCGCCCGCCGACAAACATCTGCCGCGCGCTCTCAGCAGGTTGGCCGTAGCGCTGTGAGCCTGCCCGCAGAGCAGCCGCACGCCCAGCAAGGCACAGCGGGCGGGCGATACCCCGCCAAACAAAGGCCTGCTACCGGCAGGTACACCGTACTCCAGACAAAATATTTTCAAATCTACTCCACATCCCACCCTTTTCACAACTCCAAATCACTCCTCTGAAGGCCGAATCTCGAGCAAGAATTTGCCCGAGTGCCCTTCGAAGAAGCTTCAATCATGGACAGTGGTGGACCGAGCATGGCGGGGGAGGAAGATATTGATCTCTACGGTAAGACTCTGTCTATGGAGTCCAGGGGGTACTTTTTCGCAGTGGATCACATCTGACGCATTTTCCAGAGCTCCTCGGTATTGATAAGGATGCTTCGCAGGATCAGATCAAGAAGGCATACCGGAAGGTTCGTGGCCCCCTCCCTTGCTCGCAACGACAACTACAACGACACACCAGTTTCAGCACCATATACTGACACGCCCGTCCTTCACAGGCTGCCCTTCTTCACCACCCCGACAAAGTCCCTGAGGAACGTAGAGAGGAGTCGGAAGCCAAGTTCAAGGCTGTCAGCCAGGCCTACGAAATCCTCAAAGATGAAGATAAGCGCCACCTCTACGATACCCACGGCATGGCCGCATTCGACCCCTCGCGAGGCGGTCCCGGCGGTCCCGGCGGTGTTGAGGTCGACTTGAACGACATCCTATCACAAATGTTTGGCATGGGTATGGGCGGCCCCGGTGGTCCTGGCGCTGGTCCCAGAAGACCCCGTCGCGGTCCCGACGAGGACCAGCCTTACAAGGTCACACTCGAGGAGTTGTACAAGGGCAAGACTGTCAAGTTCTCCGCAAACAAGCAAGTTGTCTGCGGCACCTGCAAGGGATCCGGCGCCAAGGCAAATGTCAAGCCCGCGCAGTGCGAGAAGTGCAGAGGCGCCGGTATGGCAGAGGCTTTCCGCCAGGTCGGCCCGGGCATGGTCCGCAAAGAGACCGTTATTTGCGATCGCTGCGAGGGATCCGGAAACTTCTGTAAGGAGAAGGACCGCTGCAAGAAGTGCAAGGGCAAGCGTACCACGTCAGAGACCAAGGTGCTCGAGATCTACATCCCCAGAGGCTCCCAAAACGGAGAGAGAATCGTGTTGGAGGGCGAGGCGGACCAATTCCCTGATCAGACCCCGGGAGACATTGTTTTCCACTTGGCCGAGGAGCCCCACGACGAGTTCACTCGCATCGGCAACGATTTGTCTGCCGAGCTGACTGTCTCTCTTGCTGAGGCTCTCGGTGGCTTTTCCCGGGTTGTGATGACGCACCTCGACGGCCGCGGTATTCACATGGAGAGAGAACGCGGCGAAATTCTCCGTCCTGGTGACATCCTCAAGGTCGCCGGCGAGGGTATGCCTCAGAAGCGCGGCGAGGAGAAGGGTGACTTGTACCTGATTGTCAATGTTGAGTTCCCCGAGGACGGCTGGTTGAAGGATGATAAGGAGTACGATGCTCTGAACAAGCTCCTTCCTCCCCCTCCTCCTCCTATTACGGCAGAGGAGGTTGATGAGGTTGAGTACGAAGAGGTGGATAGCCTGGACTCGGTAAGTCTTGACAAGTCCTTCCATCATGATATGCCTAGCGCTAATGCAAATGTCTACAGATGGGCGCCAACTCGGGAGACCCGCGTTTCGGTGGCGAATGGGAAGACGAAGATGAGGACGATGGCCAACCTCAGTGCCAGCCTCAGTAAGAGGCGCTCAGGTGAATAGAGATTTTAGAGGACAGAGTCTTGGGCTTGACGCCCTGTAGCTCATGACAGACATGACGACCCGGACGGTGTAGGGGGTGAGCATAGACGGGGGAACTGGAGAGGAGTTTTGCTTGGTAGTTTGGGCATCATCCCCCTCATGAATGAAAGGCAGCCCGCGATACACGGGTGCCACGTCGCTTCTCAACCTTTTGGCGCAGCGATAGCATTCAGTGGTGACTCATGGAAAGCACAACCCGGTTCTAGTGCCGTTTTGTTTGTGCTTTGTCGGCTCGGCTTGGGGTGTATGGTCAACTTCCTGTCCTCCCCTGTCATCCAATAACAACCACGTCCCATATAGTATAGTGGTTAGTATACTCCGCTTTCATGTTCTCAATGATATCCGGAGAGTCCCGAGTTCGAACCTCGGTGTGGGAAATTTCTTTTGCTAGTTTTGGCAATGGTTTTGTCTCTTTGACAATGGAGCTTTTAGTGAAGTGGGAAATTTATGCAGGACATGCCGCTTCAATGACTCCACTGTGTGTAGCGGGTCCGTGCTCACTGCGATTTCTTTTTGGCCCGTAGGCCGACTGCATTGGCTACAGACCGAAAAGAGTTCCTCTCAACTAGCGCGACCTTTTGGGCCAGTAGCAGGTCTCCGCTCCTGCACTTTTTTTTTCCTTCCCCCGCCAGGCGGCCCACACGTGACCGACAAAATCTTAGGGCTTCGGGAAGAGCCCACGTCCAGTGCGATTCGAAATGGTGGTCGCCCAAATTTCACGATCGCCTTGAAGCCCGAATTTGACGACGTACACCCGCCCCGACTAACCCAATAGCCAGGAACAGCCGTCAAGGTGAGAATCAATTGCTACGGCACCCTCGATCGACATACTGTCGATATTCCGATTTAAATACTGACTTTTGGTTTCATAAAGATGGTCGCCGCAAAGAAGCACGTTCCTATCGTGAAGAAGCGTATGTTTTTTCCTTCCCCAAGGACACAGCACCCCTCTACGACCCCGCGTACCCGACAACCCCGACGATGAATCTACCGAACGAGAACCGTGGATTGGGAACGAGAGGATTGACGGGTGTGATTTTGAACAGGCACGAAGCTCTTCAACCGCCACCAGAGCGACCGCTTTATGCGCGTTGATCGATCATGGCGCAAGCCCAAGGGTATCGACAACCGCGTCCGCCGTCGCTTCAGGGGTAACACTCAAATGCCCTCGGTACGTCGAAACACCTCCCTGCTGGATTTGGATTTGGATTTGGAAATGGACATGAACAAGAGGAGGAACAATTATTGGCGAAAGATGGTTCAAGGGCCCCAGGAATACAGTCGCTAACCTGGCATTCTCACTCTTCAGATCGGCTTCGGCTCCAACAAGAAGACCAAGTACATGATGCCCTCCGGCCACAAGGCCTTCCTCGTCAGCAACGTCAACGACGTCAACCTCCTGCTGATGCACAACCGCACCTACGCTGCCGAGTGCGTACCATCCCACACCCGCCTACCAGCTCCGATCGAAAACCGAGCAAAGGGCATTTTGCCATGGAAACAGAGCCAGCTAACACCGAATACAGGATCGCCCACAACGTCTCGTCGAGAAAGCGCATCGACATCATCGGCCGCGCCAAGCAGCTCGGCGTCAAGGTCACGAACCCCAAGGCCAAGGTCACCACCGAGGTCTAAGCGAAGAAGATGTAAAAAGTTTTCTTCTCAAGTGGGTTGCGTGTGGAGGAAAATCAGCTGTTCGGGGCGAGGGGGTTCGGTTTTCATCGCCTGGTTACTTGCGTTGTGCTCTCATATCCAGGGAACGGGAATGCATCGGAAACGGTTTCTGCGATGATTCAGGGCTGGCGGCTTGGCATGGCTCGTACCGTTGTGCTAGGAAATACAAAAAAACAACCGCAGCAAAAATTCAACGACTTGACGTTCACTCAGGCGTGTGTTCTCTTACTACTACCGTCGATTGACAAGAATAAGGCGTTGGGTGGGATGGAAAACAGGATCCTTCATATGCTCGGTAATTCGAGAATATCACCAACCCCTTTGGCCCCTGCATTATTTTGAAATATCCTGCACGAGTGACATTCCATGTGGTCATCTTGCTGTCCTTGGGCATTCGTCACCAGCGAGTATCAAGGGTCACCTTGGTTGTTTGAGCACACTTTAACTTGGCCTTGCTCTGAATCCCCGGTCCATATGTCGTCTCATGTCATTGTCTAGTGACGGACTAGACCACTTGCCACACCGCTATTGCTACTGCCGCGGGGCATTTCCACAGTAAGGCTCACGACGTGATAGTCGAGACGGGTGCTACTATCTTCGGTTAAGCATACCTATAGACCTTGTCATCGAGCTAGGCTTTCGTGGAAATCACCAGCATGAACAGGTCCATTGCGATTCGACGAACACCAAGGGAGCACTCTGGCGGCTTTCCCCTGGGTGAATCACAAAAATGAACAGTTCAAAGCAGGTTATGGAGACGTAATGTATTATCTAGGTATGCGTGCATTGCATCATTCCACCCATCCGCATCACGCTCAACCTCAATACGACAGCAGCGTAAGAAAACCCAATATGGACAGAAGGACAGGAAACGCTCGCTTTCCCATCACCGAACCCGTAAAACGCAAATGAAGACTCCTGGTATCCATGATCTCGTGACAATAAAAGGGGAACAAGAGAAACAGCGTCGTGCGTAGGTATGGATGGCTGTGATCGTAATCTCGTTCTGAAGAAAATAATTCAGGTCGTAATGAATCAAGATGCGGAAGAGGTCTCATAGCGAGCGACGAGAATGCTTCGCCAGTTGCCGTCCCAGACTTCATCGCACCAACACCTTTACGCCATGAGAGTGACGCCGACTCTATCTGAAGCAGTTGAAGCGGCCTATGCGCATGCGCCAGGGACCGCGGTGGACGCCGTGACGGTCTGCGTGGACGGAGGTGCCGAAGTTGCGGCCGCCGATGGGCTTGGAGTAGAAGAAAGGCATGATGATTGTTTGGTGGTTTATGCAGGTTGTTCGCACGAATTTGCTGGGGATTTGGTCAGTCCAAGGTCCGGGAGTACAGAGCTCAGGTGCTGTTTGGGAGTAGGAGCATACCTTGTGGTTCTTGTCGAGTTATTCGCGGTGGAAAGCTCGTGTTTGGTAGTTGATTTGGATCACGACTATGGAAGAAAGGCCAAGAAGGAACGGGCTTGTATTATATACCTAAGGTATACGCCGGTTCCCTCCTCGTACGAACCAGTGACGAGGGGCAGCAGACCACGCCAGCCATCATCTCCCTTCCCCCCTTGGCTTGCTTTTTTCCCCAACCTTTTCTTGTAATTGCACCAGTGACACAACGGTTCCCCTTCGAAACTTGGCTAACAGGGTCGCTTGTGCTGTGTGGTGTTGTATGCCAAGAGCTCGTTGAGAGGGCGGTGACGTAGTCGTGGCTGAGCAGGATGAGGTTGCTAGTGTGGCTGGGGAGGAGAATCGAGCGGCAATTGGTGGCAGACGCCACAGCTAGCGCTTGGCCAAAGTCTAGATTGATGGGGGTGTGGCTGAGGTGGGTGCGGCAGGGTCCGCTGAAGTGACCGGACAAGGGGAGGAAGGATTCTGAGTGGTGAGTTCGTTCTGAGTAGGTAGCGAGTTAGATGCGAGGGATCGGTCGATTGGAAAGTAAGGTTATTCCAACCTGCCGGCTGACTGACGGTGTCTCTTCGCTTCGCCATCCCTTCCCTCAATGGCTTCTTGAACTCTGCTCTATGGGTGCATGAGATCTCCTGGTGCCGTCCTTACGAGGCCTCAGAGGCTCGGCTGGGCATCAGCAGCTATCCTTAACTTGCTTGCTTCTTTACCAGTACGTATGGCATGCCAGATGATGTGTCGGAAACACATTCATTCTACCCATCTCTGCCAGTAGACCTGACAAACCTCCAATTGTTTTCTCCGCAGTCAAGCCCTTAGAACTGCACCCCAGGCTTGAAATGGCCACATCTGTGTTTGTCGTCCATATTGCAGTCACGTTTCGTTCAACTTCATCATCATACCCCGAAAGTGATACATCACGTTGCCTAGCGCTTTAAGCCAATCCTTTCATTCAATTAAGCACGATAGGGTGCCGGTTTGACGAAAACGCACGTGGTCCCTTGCCATAGTCGATCTAGAAAGCTTGTCATGTTCTTATGTTGCCTCACGGATGGTTGAATGAAGGTGGCATAGTGATGTGATTCCTTTTCAACCTGTTATGTCCCCCAATGGGCATCTCAAATAACATCAAAGTGCGGATAGGTAGACATTCGACGATCGACATCAGTTCGATCAGACAATTTCTGTGTTACTGCTGGGGCCTGGCAGAAGGGCTACTTCAACAATGTTTTAACACCACAGGGCTTCTCAAATACCCCTTCAAGGGCGGGCAGTGGTCACTCCTGTTAGGGAAGTCTTCTTGTCTCGCGAGGCCTACCCCTGAACGCTGCTTTGTGGATTGATTTGAAGTGACTGGCTCTCTTGCTCCTATCGTAGTAGAGTCGCATCGCCTCAATACACTACTCATACGGAGGCAGCTTGCCATTTTTCCTTGCAGTCCACCAAGCATGGAATTGACACGCGACAACGTGCAACAGAGACAGAGATTGCAAGAAGGCAAGGCCCAACTGCCTAGGCAGAGACTGAGATGTCATAATAACGTTCATTCCTAGCATGGCCCGCGAGGTGCGGTATAAGCCTTCAAGACACTTCAGATGATATCGAGCGAGGAAAGATTTCTGGGAATTGGGGGAACACCTCAAGGGGACCCTCTAAGTAGCTCTTCCTGCAATTCAGCGCGCTCACTGAAGCTTGCCTGACATGCTCCTTGCAGTCCGGAGTATTTCCTTGGGCCTTTGTCACAGTTACCATCCGACCTTATTGCTCAGGAGTCGGGGAGTTTGATAAGTGAAGAGAAGTTGGAAATTGTTTCTTCGAAGCCCACTACAGAACCCAAGATTACGTTCATCCCACCCACCAATCCTCGAAATCCACATCGTTCTTGTAGTCCTGGTGGCTACGGCGCCTCTTTGCACCGATCTCTGGCACATCCATCAATTTTGACCATCAGAGGCGCTCCCTTACCAACCAGCTCGTCAGTCCAAGCCGAGGCCGTCCGTCTTTTTCGTTCAACTGCGATTCCGAGGAGCCGAGAGTCATTCAACCGTCATGCTGAAGCTTACCTTAGTCCGCTCTTAATCTCCATGCACGACATCAGGGGGAAACCATGTTGAAAACGGAAACGACACTACAGCTCGTAAAAGAACTCGGACGACAAGGCTTGAAATGAGGCTCAACATATTCAATACTATTCTCCTACCGCAAGCGAAATTTTCTCTTACGAATTAGTCAGGGGAAGGACTGGGCAAGGACAAAATTAAGCATAACGTCTGCTACAGCCGGGCCGATCGATCCTTTCGGACCGTGGCACAAGTTGCGACATGACGAGCAGGATCCTCGCCGCGGAAAAGAGGGTTGTTGGGGCGGCCTTTGTTGCTGGGCCGAAAACATCGACACCCTGCGTATAAGACACTGTCTTTGGGACTACAAGGCATTGGGTATTTACATCGGAGCCGGATGTAGCTGCGCTTGCGGAGTTCGTTGATCTTGCCTCCAACCGTTTGGACTCTATGTGAGACATCTCTGATTCTCCTTCCGGTCTTGGAGACATCATCTCTGTCCGGTTTTTGTCGAGGAGAAAACTCCTCCATCGAAGGCACACACTGACAGACTCAGGGATGACGCCATGCCCTGCGCTTTCCGAGTAAGTCGCAAAGCCAGGGAAGGGTCTACGTGAGTGAAGCTCGACTTCGGCGCCGATGGCGTGGCGTTCATGGCTGGTTTCCTGGATCCTACGATACACATACGGTAGGATGTAGTTCTTCCTACATCCTGTGGTCCCCTGTAGTCGATGTATCTGCACATGGCTAATAAATACGCTTATTCTTAGTGGAAGATCCGACATTGCTCTATGCTGACGCTTAATTCAGGGTCTTCTGGCACTCCACTTACTTCATCTTGTGGCGCGAACTAGGATAGTGTCCATGAGCTTAAACACCATGAAGATCTTCAGTTCAAGACAACAAGTGGAAACCTGTATTGAGGTGCCTGGTAGTGCTACTCGTGGGTAAGGAACTATTGGTCACTGTCCAGGCATACATGCAGTATTATGACGCGATCCTATCGCCAAGAAAGCTTGGTATCTGACGTTTCCAGCATCCTTATATCCCTTAGCATCTTGGCAAGAACTTCTTTCCACGCCGGGAAGAGCAATCGACCTGTCTACCACGGCGGTGGGCGATGATCAAGCTTGGCATCCGACGTCAATCCGGGGGGGGGAATATTTGACGGGATCAATAACTCCTCCGAGGCGATCTCCAGGGCTTCTTTCAGCCGCGTCCAACCCTGAAAACGGATGGGAACATGGACGACACGTTTTGATGAGAAAAGACGCCGGAGCTTTTGCATCGAGAGATGCCTCTGGTGCGTAGCAGTCGGTCCGGATGAGGGCTTCAACTCGCAACCTCAGGGGGGTAAACATCCCGTCATCATGACATCGGAGTCATCAATTGCGTATTGTGAGACTTCTTGAAAATTCCGAGGCGGTCTGGTAAAAATCGTCTGCCAAGAAGCATGTTAGAATTCCTATAAGAGGAATCAACATCGTCCACCCTGGGCTCATAACTCTCTCGAACATCATCACCATCTCGCAGCAATCTACATCCATAATCACATTCCTCACATCCTTATTAGTTTAACCTCTAGTTTTCCCTTCGTCTCAATAAGCATCTCCCCAAAAGCCAAGATGTACACCAAGGTCTTCACCGCGGCCGTTGCCGTCCTCTCCTTCGCCTCAGTCGAAGCCGCCATCCTTCCACGCGCAACTATCACGCCTGGAACCGTCGTCCTCCCCGAAGTCATCTTCAACCCAGGCGAGCTGACAGACCCGCTCTACACCGCGCTGAACATCCTCCGCGGCGACATCCTCAAGACCACGACCTTAGCCGGCGACCTCACAAAGACCGTCGGAACAACAGTAAAGGATGTAAGTTCAAAACCTACGCTAAATCACCCACCGGGGCATTACAACCATACTAACCCCCCCTCTTCCTCACAGAGAACCGACCAAGTCAACGCTGTCATCCGCCAAGTAACAAGCAACACGAACAGCATCCGCACCAGAGTCGGCACAGTCGTCGGCAACCTCCTAGGCGTCGTCCCCTCAGGCCTCCCCGCCCCGTCCGCGACCTCCGCCGCGCCCCCCTCCGTGCCCACGGCCGAAGTCGTCCGGATCGCCCAGGACGTCGTCCTCCAGGCCCAGCTGCTCGCCCGCCAGGCCACCGCCCAGCTGCAGAACCTCCAGGCCCAGGCCAACGCCGTCGCCGACCCCGTCTCCAAGGCCGCCTACACCCTCGCCTACACGCAGGCCAACCTGGCGCTGCAGATCGCGCTCAGCACCGTTGCTGCCTCGGCGTCGACTGCGCTTACGGCCGTGGCGAACGCTGCTGGTAATGCCAATGGTCTTGCTGAGCGTATTCGCAACATTCAGGCCAAGCTGAACCCTGTTCTCGTTGTTGGTGTCACTCCTGATGTTACCTTTTAAGGAGCCATCTGTATGGGACTCTTGGATGCATAAAAAGTTGAATCAGGGTAGCTCGAAGCTGGCCTGTCACTTGCCGGAGCAAGACTCGGCGCTGATATATGAGGCGAACTGATTCGCATGAAAATGGGACGACACCTGGGATCTGCGTATCAAGGAACTATAATGTTAGGATCGAATGATAATGGCGCAAGAACTAATAGGCTACACACTCTTTGATAATAATATCTAATAACTCATTGAACTTAACTCTGAGTTAACGTATCTTGATGTGGCACCTTGATCTTTGAAAGAGCATCTCGTGGATTTGGAGAACCTGACCTACACATATATAGCGATAGATATATGAGCACGAAGTAATGATATATCTTGACAGCTTGAAGTCAACTTTAACAAAATATGATATTATGCTAAACAATTGATAGACTTTACAAGGCATGGTATGATACGTCGTCAGTTATCAGATTGCGCACTTACCCCCCACCACTCTATTTCAACAGCATCGGCAATATAAAAACTGACAATATCTTTGAACTATTGACGGCGGCAGCAGAGATAGTACTGCACATCTATACTAGCACTGCGCTCTAGTCATATCGACTTCGTTTGCTAGCACCCAATCTCATGTACAACATATCAGGCCGTCGAGAAACAGCAAACCATCAAGTCGCAGGCTGGACGCAACGAACATTGTTGCAAAAAAGATCAGGTTTAACTTCATCGAAGCTGTCTCAACGGTATCTAGCGATGCCAAGCCCCCCCCCCCCTCCGTGCTCTAATCATCGGCACGCCGTGAATATAATGGCTAGACATGCAGGAACTGACTCTCCGGCATCGCTTACCTTCCAACAACCGTCAGACGGAAGGTACATCCTGAGGACTTTAGCGGCAGCATATCCTGTCGGCTCGACAGGCCGATAAATCCTTCATGTGAGCTCAGACGTCGAGACCAAGAGCCCACCAGTTCGTTACAAAAGTCATGACAGGCTGCAGACTGCAGAGTGCAGAGTCTAAAGTGAGCCCCTCGGAGCCATTTAGTTCAGACGGGACGACGTGTTCCGGCGAAACGACGCCTTTCATTCGTATCCTGATACCGCGATCAAGTATTTCACGTATCACCATTGAATCCTCCGTTTGCCAAAACACTTTACCATCATATCACCGAGAAGTCATGTCTCGGCACCGAGAGACATGGCGCAGGGAGAAAACAGGTTGTCATATGCTTACCCCTGAAAGTAGCATATTTTGGTACTCGGTGAGACATTCCGCATCTTGGGCATGCGGAGGTTCGAGCCGGCATCTCGCAGGTCAGTCAGAATACAGTCCAGGACGGGCGGAACATGAGCTTGGCTATGGGATGATCCATTTCCCTCAAGCTGGATCCAACGTGGTACAGATTTGGGGGTAATAACCGAGCTTGGACGATATGACGCCGCGGAGTGCATATTCGATGAATCATTCAGTAGGCCGTATCATGCAAATTGTTCCCTTTCAACTCTCCCATCAAAAGTTGGTCGACCGAGCTTCGGATGACTGGCGCGCGTATTCCCATGCATTGCGATGTGTACTGAGCTCTTGAAAGAATCACAGGTTTGAAGGGGGGATGGGCCCCAAGAGCGAACAAGGGACGACTAGCCGAAGCCACTCAGGTTTGATGGGACGAGCGGGCATGTGCGTTCGCGCCGGGCCCCAAATCTTCGGTCCCAGAGGAAGCTTGGGTTTCAGATGAGGCTCCCTTTTTTTTTTTTTTTTTTTTTTTTTTTTTTTTTTTTTTGCTCCCTTTTGGCAAAAAGATCGCAACCTCTACGCTGCTTACAAACTTCGGACGAAAGTAATTGACTTTCGCATGTAGCCGTAGACGCGAGCGTATTCGTAGTCTTTTTGGTTGCTCGTGCTCAGCAAGCTTCCGGGGGCGATACAGACTACCGCACGGGTTGCCGGTGAGGACGTGAACCCTATACCTGTACCGCGGTCGATGGGAAATAGGTAGCTATCTGCGGGCGCGTGCCGGGTGGCGACGGCGGTCTGTCCAGACCGAGTGCGTAGAACGGCGGGATGATAGCCGCGTGATGACGGCGGATACTGGGTGAGGGAAAGTGCGGTGGCACAAAGATCAAAAGCAGTAGAACAGATCGCTACGGCTTGAGAGGAAGGCGCGATGAGTCTGGAATGGTGTTTGCGAAGCAACTGGTATGCTGTGATGATTACTTCACATTCTTCGCCTCTGTGGACTCACTTCAATGAAGGATGCTCTTGGCGGGGGACGTGTAAGGCTCGGGTCCGAACAGAGCTGAGAAAAGCCACACAGTCAGCGCCGTCGAAAGCCATAGGTCGGATCTGGAGGCTGATGTCGACTGGCGCCGTTTGCAACTGAGTTGAGTGAAGTTACCTAGTGTTTGGGACGAGCCACATCGTAACGGGCCAGCAGCTGTGGCGCACGGGTGAGCGGCGGTGGTGGTGGTGGCGGCGGCGGTCGTTGCTTGGGATGGTTCATGATGGTTGACGGAGTGAAGACAGTGATCCAGAACGTGACGAGAGTAAATCACTCTGATGTCGATCGCCGGAGACGGGCAGAAAGTTGTTGACGAATTGGAAGATGGACGCCGGGAACATTTCTTGATGCGTGAAGCGCGTTTACGGATAACCTACATGATGGCAGCGACTTTGCCTAGAACGCTGGCAGAGGTGTTACGTCTCCAGTAATGAGAGTTCAGTGGGTCGGGGTTTAATCCCCGTAACCAGCGGATTGGGAGATGGTAAATGGGAGGCATGACGAAAGCGTATGTTTTGTACGATGTCTTGGCCCAGGCATAGGGAGTTGTTTACCTGAATCCGGATGGTGATGAGGTGGAACTATGCGTTAGTGGAAGTGGGAGGTCGGAAGTTGCGTTCAAGGTGGGTAAACCCATGGAGCCGGATTAGGAAGATACAAATGATGTCTGCGAGAGCTGGCATTCTTGGTGTGTAAGTTGGGCAACTTGTAAGTATTCCCCTAGCTGTGCTGGATATGGATTAGGTGAGATGTCTGATAGTTGGCCAATGCGAATGGCCGTTTTCCCAATGGTCCCAGGACTGAGGAGCCCAAAAGTCAAGGCCCAGAGCAGAGACCAGGCCCGAGAGCTTAATACCCTCCCACCCAGGGGCCAGGGCCAGACCTCCTTTTTCGACGTTGACTAACACTGACGGGTATTCTTCCGGTGCAGGAAATATGACTAAGAGACCTGGTCTCCGATAACGCTACACCGTATCTGTACTTCGTACGCAGTAAGGTAGACGGTTGGCCCAGATGTAAACGGCGAACATACCGTAATGCAATGTCAAGGAGACTGAGGAGCAGAACAACAACTTCAAGAGCAGGAGAGGGAATAGAAGAAGAAAACAATCTGTAACAAGAATTGGGAAGACGGAGGCAGCTTCTGAGGTTTCTGACAGCGGGTGAAAGAAGATGGAACTTGTAGCTGGCAAGGAGGTCTGTGATTATGGAAAATGACTGGCTACCTACCTTACTACAGTAGACAGGTAGGTACCTTTTGAGGTACACCAACACATAGAAAGGTCCACGGGTACTTCCACGGTTCCTGAGGTGGAAAGCGGCATGGCGGCTGGCCCTGGTCGACTCCCAGTTGTTTCAAGTCCACAAACCCCAGCCAAACATCTCGCAAGGTGTCGAGTCTCCAAAAGTCATTTCACTACTCCGTACCGCATTTTTTATTATTTTATTTTGAACAGTCTGAACTTTTAGACATCTGTCGTCGACAGGCCGAGGCGGGAAAGAGGCGTGAGAGGCTTGTGAGAGAGCAAGACATTGGGCAGACATCTATGGATATCTATTGCCCCTGAAGGTATTCCGTATAGAAAGAGTAGTACGAAATACAAGTGACATTGTGCCTGGCTATACGGAGTAGGTACGAAGTAAGGTGGGTGTGCACAACATGTCGAGGTTGCATCTGCACCCATCACCTATCACGGCAGCGCGCGGGAGGAACAAGTCGATTCTTCTACCCAATCTCTGGCCATCTCTCCTGCAGCAGCGTCTCCCGCATGAAATTGAATTTTGGGCTGTTTTAGCGGCGGCAGCGCAGCAAAGGGGTTCCGGATCTGGCAAGCTTCGTTTTTTTTTTCTTTTTCTCTCTTCTGATTCTTGTCGAGTTCTCCCGTTTCCTTGGAGTTCCTTCCGTACGGGATACCTCCCATCCTCAGAAGTTCAGAGCTGTCCCGCCCGGGCTGTTGCTCCGTCATATTCGCTCGCACACGCACACACACACAGAACACATACGACACACGGCACAACAAACCAAACACACTTTTGAATACATCTTTCCCACTTCCTTGTCTTCCCGTCTTCTCTCTTTTTTCCCTGCCGGCTTAACGTTTCCCGAATCCAAAATCTTGGTCAAGTTTTTTTTTGGGCCCAACATCGATTCCGCAGTCCACACCGTTTTGCCACCTAACCTTTCCATCCCATTGACATCCCCTTCAGCCCTTGTCGCTCCTTTTAATTGTTTTCTCTCACATCCCCTCGCCTTACGACTCGCCTTATTAGGTACACATACAGGATACGGATACAGCAACCACAGTACGGAACCACGGCTACCTTGCACTCGCCTCGCCTCGCCTCCTTCACCCACTGCGCCGTTCCCTGTTCTATTCATAGTCGGCTCCTTGCCAGCCCAGCCCAGCAAGCCATCCAAGCCAACCGCCCCTCCTTGGTCGACCACCACCACCACCACCACCACCACCACCACCACCATTCACCAAGCAGCGCACTCCTGGATTACTTGCTTGCAAGTTGCCCCCAGACAGCACCCTGCCTGACTGAGCACACGACTTCCCGCCAGCTGTTTCTTCGGATTCACTATCCGTACATCGCTTGATTGTCTACCAATAGTCGTGCGCTACTGGCGACGACCGCTGAGCTTCTCATCCACTCCGAAATCCAACAAACTTGCGAAATCTCTCTTTCCACCACCCTCGCAAAAACCTCGTCCAACCATTTCATCATCGTCCCTCTACCCGCAGTGACGCCGCACCCTGGCAGCCCCGACGGCAATCTCGCGCGCCGCTAGAACCCAGCCTGGCGTCCCTGTCCAGCCGACGAAACAGCGGAGTCGCAATTACGACCCCCGTTCAACGCCCAGCGCCGACGCCAACCTCTGAGTCTGCTCTACCTCTCAGCTCTGCTACTGTCTGTCACACACAGTAGTATTCCTACCTCCCTTCTCCAGACCAAACCACGCCAACACGCTACGGAGCACGCTTCGCCCATCCCATTCTCTTGGCAATTGCCTACCGCCCCAGCTTTTTTGGTACCCTCGCTCCATGATACACTTCCGAACCGTCCTCCATACGTCGTCTGCCGACCAGGGTCTCTCCAACTTACCAACTGACGGGTCCAAAGGGGGTTGGCTCGTCAAGCGCAAAGGAAAAATAATCCAGACGGAACTGTGAACGGAACGACCTCTGCACTCATTGCACACGACTCTACTGTGTATCCATCCATTCATACGCCGCACCACCACATACCATCCTCACGACTCGAGCAATCCCGTCACAAAATCACAATTCCCACAACCGTCTCGGCTGGCTGTGCTGGCCCACGACCTGATCCAACATGACGAGACCTCACATTATTCGCGCTGGTAAGTTTATGCGACCCCAAACAACCGCGCCTGCGCCTGCTGCCCATTCCTCCCGTCGCACCACACAATTTCTCCCCCTTTCCTACTTGGCTCTGGGTTTCCTGTGTCTGAGCTCTAGCCTGAACCCGTCTTGGTCTAACGGCTGGAACCGCGGACGATCAATTTTACAGAATTCCTCCCACCCCTCCCCTCCCCCCTTTGGCCAGAGCAAGAGGAAGCCAGAAAAAAATAATAATTACTTAGCAACTTTGTTTCTTTGCTTGACATGTCACGCTGACCATTGACCTCTTCTGTCGCATTTACAGACACTATCGATCTGCAAAACCCCGACGCACCCTCAGCGAAGGACCATAGCAGGGCGCCCAACGGCTCGTTTGGTCCGCACCAGGCCGAGACTCTTCGAGAAGTCGCCCAGGAATCCGCCGAAGATCAAGCGCGCAGCCCGAGGCTATCCTGGACCAACGCCGACGACGACGACATCTCGGACCGGGACGATCTCGCGGGAGAGGTCTCGAGAAAGCTCACTGGGGCCACAATGGACGACGCGAGCAGAAGACAACAGCAGCAAGATGCGCTGGCTGTCGCACAAAATGGAGGTGTCTCGGACGACGGAAACATGGACGACACCGACGAGAGCATGGACGACGACGACATGATGGACAAGATCTCGAGTTCGCCCTCGATTGAAGATGGTGGGTACACTTCGATTATGCCTCCGCAATCATGGCCGCGTAGAGTCGACTCTCTACCCGCCATGAGAGATCACGGCTCCCCCGTTTCCCCTTCGTTCAGCGAGGCAAGGTCCTCTTCTCCTTATACCGAGTCCCTCGAATACCTTCCAGCACACCTCTCTTGGCAGCATAGCAAGGCATCTGCCAATACATCAACCCATCATCATCTTCGCGGTGAGTATACCGAATAGGATCGCAATACGACCGACGACGATCGATTCGACGAGGAACAGTACACCGACGAATACTACGACGACGAACAATACGGCGATGAATGCCATGACGAGCGTAACTGGCAAGACGAAAATAACAACAGTCACACAGCGAAGTTTGATCTCCAGAACGTTGCACAGCATGGGCCGATTGTGGTTCGTCCGCTTCGCTTGCGTAAAGCTGGAGAACCAGACTACGACGACTTCGCGCAGCGGCGTGCAGAGATGGAGAGGGCAGAAAGAGACGAGGCAGCTGGTGGACTCGACGATGACGGCATCCCGCTTACGATCCCATACGAACCCTCTATTGATGATGAAGATGATGATGACGGCGATGTTTCTCTTGTTGATGATTCTAGATTTATTGCCTGTGGCTGGGGCAACGAGTGCTTACACGAAGCAGAGGACATCGATTTCGAATTCGTCTACGCGTTGCACACCTTCGTTGCGACCGTCGAGGGCCAAGCAAATGCCACCAAGGGTGACACCATGGTGTTGCTGGATGACAGCAACAGCTACTGGTGGCTGGTCCGTGTGGTGAAGGATAGCAGCATTGGTAAGGTCCCCCTTTGAGTGTTATTCAAAGAGCAGCTCCTTACATGAACAATAGGCTATCTGCCGGCAGAGCACATTGAGACGCCAACCGAGAGACTGGCGCGCCTAAACAAGCACAGGAATATAGACGTAGTCGCTCCCTCCATGGAAGAGATGAACCTTTCTGACTTAGATCAGCTTTCCGCTACAATGCTCGGAGATCAGTCTGGGGAAAAGTCCAAGAGTACGTTCAAGACTGCTCTTAGGAAGAAGAAGAAGACGGTCGCATTCGCCGCCCCGACTTTCGTCGATTACTCTGACTATGACTACTCCTCGGACGAGGATGCGGTTGATGAGCTGTTCTCTCAACAACAGGGTGCTGCTCAACAGCAGCAACAGCAGCAACAAACGTCGCAGCAGTCGACAGAGGAAACGATGGATGATGACACGGCCAAGGTTGAGCCACTGAAGCCTAGAACAACGAAGGAGGTCAACGCTGCGGAACCGACGAAGAAAGAGGAGGCACCAGAGGATGACTCGAAACGCGACAGCGGCGAAATCTTTGAGAAACCAGAAGGTCCCAGCAGGTCGAGGAACGGCACCGTCAGGAACACCGACTCTTTCTTTAAGGACGAAACGGCCGAGACCAAGAAGATCACGCTTACGCCTAACTTGCTTCGTGACGATAGCGGCTCGCGACCTTCGACAACGGAAAGCGTCCAGGTCAAGCAACGGCCAAGTCTGGATAAGATGGATAAGGAGCTGCAGCCGGATAGGAAGGAGGATAAGAAGAAGAAGGACAAGAAGGAGAAGGAGAAGAAGACGAGCACCATTCGGAGTTTCTTCTCGCGTAAGGACAAGAAGAAGACCACGGACGACGACGATGAGTCTTTTGGCAAGAGATCGATGGATATTGTTACAGAATCCCAGGACCGGGAGAGTCGCGAGAGCCGTGAGAGTCGGGAGGAGGAGCTCAAGGAACCGTTGTCCCCGAGAGGCGATGGTCCCCAACGAAGCGCAAGCAAGCTCCAGAAGCAACAGCCGAGGGTCGAGCCGTCTCCTGCGAGGGTCAACGGGGCTGCAACGCCACAAAAGTCTGCCACCAGAGAACTCTCAGAGTTCATATCCTCCGAAGGCCGCCCCAACAACGTCTCGAACGTACCCCCTGCTTCTATGCGCATCGTGGAGGATGATTCGTCGGATCCAGAGCTCTCCGTTCAACAGCAGCGGATCAAGTCCCCCGAGACGACTCGGTCACCTCCCCAAGAAAAGTCGACCCTGTCCAAGATCATCCCGTCGAGGAGTGGCAACAGTGAACCCAAGCCGCAAAAGGTCACCAAGGCGAAGTCTCGAGTTGAGCTTGACGACTTTGACTCTTCTGGAGAGGAGGTTGAGTCTGCCGAGCCACCCGTGCAGCAGCAGGCACAACAGATTGTCAAGGAGGAAAAACTGGAACGGCCTTTGCCTGGCGCGTTCCCTGACAGCTACATGAGCAACTTGAGTGCTGCCAGCGCTCAGACTGACAAGACAATCACTCCTACGCAAACTCAACAGCCTCAGCCTCAGCCCACCGCCGCAGAACGCGAAAAGGAAAGACTCTCCGAATCTCCCGTGCAAGTATCTCCGGTCACTTCGCACAACCCTCCTGCGCTCATGGTGGATACTTCCAGTCAAGAAGGCCACTCGACGTCGCCATCACCGGAGCTCATTGAGGCTGAGGAGGCAGGCAGACATCGTGCGCAAGATTCGATGACTGCCAGCTCGACGTCTACGGGTGGCAGCACTACCGGTAGCAGCTGGAATGATGCAAAGCTTCGGGCCTTTTTCGATTCGAGCTCGGATATCCGAGATATGCTGGTCGTTGTTTACGACAAGAGCGATGTGGCGCCTGCTGGGCCGGAACACCCCGTCGCAGGCTCTTTGTTCCGCGAACAGAATGCCAAGTTGGCGGAAATTACAACAGTAAGTCGATATGTACGGGGAGATTCCATTAGCTTCCGGACTGACTTTTGTATAGCAACTTGATAACATGCTTGGCGACTGGCTAGCACGCAAGCAAAGACTTCGAGGCACTGTTTAAGGCCTCTTTACGATCATCATGTTTAACAGACAGCGAAAGTGTAAAATACCTTTCTTGGCTTTTTGACGGCGTCCTGGTACAGGCGGTGGGATTGAGAAGGTTTACGGATTGATGGACGACACATTGAAACATGGTCGCTGATATGAACCTTAGCGCCATGGATACTTTGCGCGCGCGTATGGATTTCGCCGTTGTTACTTCTTTTTGAGATGCGTGGACATACCAAGGTCTTCACAGAGGGTGTGTGTCTCTTGCTACCTCGACACCCTTTTTTTTTTCTTTCTTTTTTTTCTCCCTTCTCTTCTTCCTTTTGTTTAGAGACACGACGCCCGCTCTAAGCGTCGTGGCATGCACATGAACACTTTGCATTGGGGTCATCATTCGCGCCGCTGGTGTGGCATTGAGACGATGGAGGCAGATGAGACGCAGCGCTGTCTAATACCATTTGGTTGTCTGTCTCAAAGTTACCAAGGATTCTTGTTGCAACTGTGAAGACGACGACAATGTGACATGTAACAAAGATGAATGTGACTCGCAGTACTGCCGACGACCGTCTCGGAGGCATAGGTCTTGATAACAGTATAACGAATACATGCAGTATGTACCTGAGGGAGTTGAGGCTGGCTCAAGGTAGAATCGCAAGATTACGAAAGTCCCTGTCGTCGGCCGCGATCCGCACTGGGCCGGGATTGTGGGTTCAGCCGCCAGCCAACTGCCGTTCGTAGATCATCCGATCTGGGGAAGCGCCGGGCGGGACCCCGCATTCCCACCCGCGCCGACCTTAGTCCTCCTCGATTCGTCAGTTCATTCAACCTCTTACTTATCAACTTCATCACAACACGTTACTCACTCGTTTTCTTTTACTGTTTCGCACCCTCACTTACTCGTCGATTAGATACGTCATTCGTCAATCAACGTCATCGGCAAGCTACCCACCGTCACTCATGACGCAGCCGTAATGCCGAATTTATGGACAAGCCTCTTTGCATTCGTGACCGGCCAATGGGATCTCATAACCCCAGATTCGAGAGGCAGCTCGCCTCGCGATGAGTCTGTCCGCAATGAACCCAGCTGGCATCAGTACGTTCGGGCGAGCGAGTCGAGAACAATGTACCCTGCGCGGGTGATCGCCGACCTCACCCGCGGCGACGTCGCCAATCCATCGGGATTAATCAATGGCGAGGGCGGGCCAACTGTCTTTACTCGTGGTTCGGCAGGAGATGAGGCCCCCTCCGTAACCGTTGACTTTGGTCAGAACACTGTGGGTATTATTTCGATCTCCTTTGCCGGGTCGTCTACGACTACTTCTTCTGCCGGTGGAACCGCGGGTCACGAAAGTGAAAGAAAAGACCAGGACGGCAGACCTGGTATCAGACTGGCCTTCTCCGAGACGCTGCAGTTCCTAAGTAACGTCAGCGACTTTTCTCGCTCCTACAACGGGGATACAATCACCCCAGGCAGCGACCAAATCGCAGTCAACAAGGACGCCTACACCTGGACGGCAAAACACGGCTGCCAGTACCCCACAAAAGACAACAGCAAAGGCCAAGTCTGCGCAGACGGCCTCCACGGCTTCCGCTACGTCCGCATCTACCTCGACGCCCTCCCCTCCGACGCACCACACACCCTCCCCCAAGGCGAAGTCACCATCTCGTCGCTATCCCTAGCGCTCTCGGCCTACCACGGCACGCCCGACACCTTTAAAGGCTGGTTCGAGTGCAGCGACGAGGAGCTGACGCGGTGGTGGTTCGACGGGGTGTACACCAACGACCTGTGCGTCGACACGTTCCGCGGCGCCGAGGACGCGGAGCCCCGGGGCGCGGCGAGCGAGACGCTCGAGGGCAAGGTTGTGTTGCATGACGCGCCGAAGCGGGATCGGGATCCTTATGTTGGGGATTTGGCGGTCGCGGCGCTGACGGGGTATGTTTCGCACGGGGTAGGGGAGTTGAGCGAGGCGAGTAGGAATGTGTTGGTGGATTTGGCGGTTCATCAGAGGGGTGATGGGTGGATTCCGCCCGCGAGCATGTGAGTTACTCCCTTGGTTTTTTTTTTTTTTTTGGTTTCTTCCTTTTCCTCTATACTTGCCAGACGGTAATCAAGCCACATCATTTGGAAGACTAATGTTTGGGACGGGATACGAAAGTATGAACTACACGCTCCCCCTCTTCGATTACCCCCTCTGGTGGGTCGTCTGCAGCCACGACTACGTCTGGTACACGGGTGACGTGGAGTACATCTCGTCCTACTACGCCAACCTCGTCGCCGTGCTCGACGGGTGGTACGTCTCCGTCACGGACCCGGAGACGGGGCTCGTGACGAAGGGGCTCAACGGCACCTCTGGCTACGGCGACTACGCTTTCCTGCCGCGACAGGGCCCCGTGACGTACTACAACGCGCTCTACGTCCTCGCACTGCGCCGGGCCGCGGAGATGGCGGCGGAGATTGGAAAGAAGGGGGACGCGGAGAGGTGGGGTCAGAGAGCGGACGATGTCGCTGAGACGCTGGCTAGGCGTAACTTTGACGAGGCGACGGGTGCGTTTTGGGATGGGACGGGTGGGGATGGGGCGTTTGTGGCGGCGCATGCGCAGGATGGGAATAGTATCGCCATACTTGCCGGCGGCGTGGTCGGGACGGAGACGGCGAGGAAGATCTTGGCGTACTACGCCGGCGTCGCCTCTCGGACGTACGGGAACGCGTTTTACGATTCGGATGGTGTCGGGGAGGGGTTCAGTCAGCGGGTGTACGCCTTTATATCCTACTTTGAGATGGCGGCGCGGTTCGCGTCCGGGGTCGGGGAGACGGCCTTGGAGGAGATGCGGAGGTTATATGGGTGGATGACAACACAGGACCCGGGTGTTACGTTTTGGGAGGGGATTGGCCCCGGAGGAAGGCCGTATGAGGACGGGTTCACGAGTATGGCGCACGGGTGGTCTACGGGGGTTGTGCCGCTTATGAGCGGACATGTTCTCGGGGTGAGGCCGACGGGGCCTGGGTTCCGGACGTGGAGTGTTGTTCCGGAGGGGAGTGGGTTGAGGTGGGCGAGAGGTGTTGTGCCGACGCCTGGGGGGGAGGGGATACGGGTTGAGTGGGAGGATTTTGGGAAGGGGGATGGAGTGCAGTTTAGGGTTGTTGTTTGGGCTGCGAGGGGGACGAGGGGTGTTGTTGGGGTTCCTGTGAGGGCGAGGGATGTTGTTGTGGATGTTGATGGGAGGGTTGTGTATCGTGGGCGTGATGGGGTGAGGGCGAGGTTTGAGAGGGGAAGGGTTTGGGTTGATATAGAAGGGGGGGAGGGTGTTGTTGGGGTGGCCATTACTGTAAGACTTGTCCGGGAGGGTTTGTGAGGGGGTTGATGTGTCCTTTTGCCTGCCGCGAGGAAATTCCAAAGGTGACAATAGGCTCCATGATCGTCAATCAGGAAGTTGCTAATTAGATTGACTGTCGTTGTACTACAAAAGCTTGACCGGAGGGTTAAGCAACACCAAGGCTCCGTGCACTTTGATAGGATCGTGAACCCACCTCATGTCAACTTAACTTTAGACTCCTTCTAGAATTATGGAAAGCTCCACTCCTTCCATTATAGATCTCGTCTATACCCCGTTTCTCCGTGCTATCAGGGCATTCGGGGGCCGCTTGAGGATTGGCTGGACTACTCGTGCAGATAGCCTCATCGGCTTTCACTGATCAGCCCCGTCTCCGGGTAAACTGCCAAGACTTCGCGATGGAGTCGGCCTCGAGGTCTATTTACATTGATTTCAGCATTCGCCGTCTTTCGTAGTCATATGAGTAGCTTCCGGGTAATGTACTAGGTTTTACTTACACAGACCCGGACGCGGACTTACGCCTCATCTGCAGATGGCGGTGACCCCGACAAGCTGACTTTCCAGCAACTTCTTCACGGTGACTCGAGGGGGATAGGTGGAGTGTGAACAGCACAGCAGTAAGAGGCCAGCTTCGACCTAATTATCGACACACGTCAGGAAGATTAGGTTCCGTATGCACTCCATTACCCTCCAGCCTAATTAATACGCGTATCGCAAGGTTTGAGGGTATTCACGGAATCTATGGGGACGAGTGCTTCTTCTCGAGCAGCCCGTTGGGTAACAGGACTCCCATGACTTTTGCGGGGTTTTTCTTGTAAAGGGGGTGGTTCCAGCACAAACAGAACTTCACTCAGCCTTGGAATGAGAGAATAGAAAAGGTGGAAGGGGTGGTTGGCTGGTTCGTAACTGAGGGGGAGGACATACTCTTCATTTGGGCTTTTCAGGGGATGGGGTGTAAGCAGACAACTTTGCCAGGTATACGGACGGCAAACTGTCCCCGAAGCCTCGGAATACAAACCAACCAATAAAGAGTATTTTACATGACGGAGAAAGATGTGAGAGTGGAGTTTCCTGCTGGCGACCACAAGTCTTCTCTCTCTCTCTCTTTCTCTCTCTCTCTCTCTCTCTCTCTCTCTCGCTTTCACGTTAGAGACGTTTCCGAGTGAGGGCTGGCGTACCAGAGCTGTTGAAACCTAGTGTCGTTAGCCAAGGCGTAGCTACACCGGCACAACAATAGTGAAATTTGATCGAGGAAATAGGATCGTGATTTAGCTTGGCAATTTCTGGGAGACTGGAGACTTCATTCAAAGAGACACGGGTTCAATATGGTGTAGACCGAGGTTTACTTGCCTTGACATGCCTCAACAGACTTCTGAACTCCCCTCTGGGAGAACCTCTGATCCTAGACGTGTAGATGGAATTCCTCTCACTTGAGTCTTGTGTGAATATATATCCAAGGCAGGTGTCGCCACAACGATATCTGCCAGCGGCAGGGACGAAACCATTTCCAATTCAGTCCCGAGAAGGAATTTCTTAGCCTCACTCGAGCATATAACTTTTCCCATTGCTGTTCCTTCGAACCTAGTCAGCGTCATGAGTATTACCAACTTCGGCCAGTCCTAGGTAAATGGTGGATGGAGTCTCATCTTTGACTGATTCAAGACGGAAAAAAGAAAAAAAGGACCACAAGTAGTAAATTGCCTTTCTGTAGGATAACTCGAACCCAGGCTCTAACCAAAATAGATAAGCCACCGGGGGGTCGAGTTCCTATGTATATTTCTTGCAAGTGATCAGTCGCAACTCCAGCGCCAGAAGTCTCCTCATCCGATGGGTGTTAAGAAATAGAGCATAGTCTCCTCATGTACCCTCCAACAGTCCCTCAAACCGCCTTGTTGTATGTTCCACAGTCCGAGAAAGTGAGAAAACATTTTTTTTTTTTCCTGAGCTGACGGATTTACACGCCTCTCATCTATCTAAAGGGTGCCGGAGGGGGAGTCCTACAAGATTTACTTGTGTGTCAAGAATCCTTGTAAAGCCCGTCGAGATATAGACGATACCGGAAGTACTGTCCGATGTGCAGCTTGCCCCAGGAACTAGTGATTTCAGCAAAAAAAAAAAAAAAAAAAAAAAAAAAAAAAAAAAAAAAAAAAAAGCTGACTCCTGAAAGCTTGTAAGTTTGTAAGTGTTGGAATAGGCCTACATTAGGCAGCAGGAGGTTGCTGCCGCGGTCCGTTCCAGCCACGGTGGTCCGTGTGGCTCAGCCACACGAGGGTGGTATACCCCAGACTTCCTGCCGCCGCTGGCACCTGGTTAGACTTCCACAAAAAGAACAACAAGAACAAGCAATATCACCACTACAGTCGGTGATCGTTGCTACCCACGATACTCGAGTATTTTCCTTTTCCACCTGTGAATCCAACAGTAAGAAAAACCCTTGGACACGCTGATCCGGTTCGGCGAATGTGACATCTAGTGGAGATGGCATCGCCGGTCCCATACTGATCGAGACGCAAGGCATCTTAGTTTGGTACCATACGAAGAGGCAGCAAGCCCCTTCACCATCATGCGTACTGCTTCCCAAGCAGGCCATCATGTTGACTGATTACGGCTGCTGAGTCGAATATTCTATATTCAATTGTCTCATGACTTCAAGGTTATCTGAGGTCATGATTACCAGCATCTAAGCATCCAGCACGTGAACACCATACAAGGTACAATTATGGGAGTGACGGGCGTTTCCTAGATGTCATCAGAGTAGGCTCACTACAAAAAAAATTATATGTTGTCTCCAATGAAGGATATGTGCATTACTCTAAGGTACCTTAGTTGTCGTCTATATTGTTCAGCTCTTTGAGAGCCTAATACTACTAGTCATGTTGGTACGGTGCCGTGGCACATGAATTCGTTCGCTGTTCCGATCATTACTCCCAAAAACGCCAAGGCCATGCAGGCTCCCCAATCAAGGTATAATAGACACTCGACAGTTGATATCACACAGGTTATCATGCAAACAGGTCGAAGCCGGCAGAATTGAACACAGGGCCCCCCGCCCCACCAAACTCCCTCTTCCACCCTAGACGTTGCCTCATCGTTCCGTCCCAGTCCGCGTCTCGTCAATTGCCAGACCCAAAGGTCTGAGCAGTCGTGAATCTTTTCTTTGCCAATTCCATTTGGAATAACCCTTGCTTTACCGAAGGCGCAGCTTGGCATCCTGGACTCCACGAGCGATGACGTCCTCGAGCTTCCAGCGGGGAGCCTTGTACATACCCTCCGTGCCGTTGGCCTTGCGCCACTCAGCTTCCGTCTCAGGAGTGATGCCTTCGGGAAGGGGCTCCTGGCCACCAGCGATACCAGTGGAGAATCTAATCTGAAGTTGATCGGCAACCTCGTCAACGGCAGCCAGAAGTCTGTCGAGATCCTCCTTGTTGTGGGCCGAGGAGACACAGAATCGGACACGCGAGCTAATAAGAGGCGTTGCGGGGTAGCCGACAATAACGACGGAAATCTTGCGCTTGAGCATGGCGTGACTGAAGGCGGGCATCTTTCCAGGGTTGTAGAGCATGACAGGAATAATGGGGGAATCATCGTGACCGTAGACGATGAGGCCGAGGCGCTTGAGACCGAGACGGAGGTAGCGAGAGTTGAAGGCAATACGTTCCAGGCGCTCAGCACCCTGGCCGGGGCAGAGCTCGCCGGTGATCAGACGGAGAGAGGCCAGAATCTGCATGAGGACGGAGGGAGCAGGGGACTCGCCAAGGGTGGTTGCGGCGTTGGAGCTACGGAGCTTGTCGATGATGCTCTTGTCAGCGGCGACGTAACCACCGTTGGCACCGAAAGACTTGGTAAGAGTACCCATGAGAATGTCGACGCGGGCGGGGTCGATGCCGTAGTAGTCGCAGACTCCGCGGCCACGGGGTCCGACGGCGCCGATGCTGTGGGCCTCATCGATGAAGAGGTAGAACTTGTACTTGTCCTTCAATGCCATGACACCGGGGAGATCGCACATGGTGCCCTCCATAGAGTAGAGACCTTCGACGGCAACCAGGATCTTCTTCCAAGGGCGGTGGGTACGAGGCTGGCCCTGAGAAATGGCCTCACGGAGCTTGCGCTCGAGATCGACGACGTCGTTGTGCTTGAAGGATGAAATGACGGCACCGGACAGACGAGCACCGACTCTGATGGAAGCATGGTTGAGCTCGTCAGAGAGGATGAGGCAGCCCTTGGAGACGAGAGCGGGGAATGAGCTGGCGTTGGTGACGAAACCCATGGAGAAGACCATGGAAGCGGGCTTGCCGACGAAGCTGGCGATTTCCCTCTCGACCTCGAGGGCCAAGTCGGAAGTACCGACATCAGCGCGGGGACTGCAGGTGCTGAGGGAGTATCTCTTGACGCATTCCTCGACAGCATCGGCACAAGGGCCCTCCGACTGCGCGAAACCAAGGTAGTTGTAGGAGCTCATGTTCAATGTCTCGGTGTGTGTGCCAGTGTAGTTGTAGGTTCTGTTGTAGTCTCTGGACTCGCGATCCATGAGGGTAATGTAGCGGCCGGGAACGCCGGTAATGGGTCGTGCGAAGCAATCGTCAATGCGCATCTTCAGACGACGAACGTAAAAGTTGTCAAAGTCCTCGTTCAAGGGAGCGTATCCATTTTGGGGCTTGAGAGCCTGGTAATGCTTCTTGTCGCCGAAGCGCTTGCCGAAGAAGTCGCGGGCGTGACCAAAGAGAATGAGAAGCAGGTAGCTGATGTAGGTGGTGAGGATGTAGTAGTAGGGCGGCTCATCGATGATGGGCGCGTCCAAGGGCTTGCCATCGTTGGACTTGCTCACGTATCGGTGGGTAGGGTGAAGGAGAGGGCCGAATTGAGCGTCGAAGCGCCTCTTCTTCTCCGTCTCGACGGCTGAGGGGGGCGAAAAGAGGGTCGTAGGAGGCTCAGTGGTGTCGGGCTCGCCAGCGGTGGCAGTTGAGAGCGAAATTGTAGGCAGGGAGATGGTGGAAGGGGTGATTTGGGTGGACGAGATGTTTTGCTGCTGCATGGCGAGGAGGGCTTGCTGAGCTGTCTGGTGGTCCTTGTCCTTGGCGCCCTTGGGGGAGGTGAAGAAGTTGGTGATGCGATTGCCGGAACGAGAAGGTCTCCTTTCCTTCTCGGAGAGCGGCATGGTGGGTGAATGAGCGTTGGAGAAGGGATTCGCAATTCTACGGGGCATTGCTGAGATGCGCTTGGCTGTCTATGGTCGACTCGGTGGCGATTGGAATAGGGGTTATTCGAAGTCTGCGATGGAGCAGGGAGAGAGCGAATTGAGGGATGCAACGAGAACGAAGCTGTTTCCTCTACGAAATCGAGATTATTGATGCGCTGCAAAGAAGAAAACGATCGGTCAGCGCGAAATGCAAGTCTGACGGGAGGCCCGGATGTTGTGGAAGAGAGAACGAAAATGGTTGGTGGTTTGAGAATTAGGGAAATTGTCGGTCAGAGTGTCAGTGGCGCAACCGCGGTCGCAGAGACAGGAGCAGGCGACCACTAAAATGGACGCGCTAGAATTGCGAGTAGCCAAGGCTCACCTCCGACCTCTTGCGGCGGTTTGATGGAAGCACGAAACAAGACACACAAAGGAAGCGCTAACCACACGCTTGATGGAGCCACAGAGGCTATCGAGGTGCCGGAGCCCACGGATTGGGTTGGTTTGAAGGAAAGTTGATTGATGATGAATTAACGGTCAAGCACTCACCAGGAAAGGCTGTAAGCAGCTGCTTGAATGGCCGAAATTTGGAGGGTTGGAGATACAGTCGTGTAGGTGGTGCGAGATGACCTTTTTCTCTTTGGCGACTTCTTTGCTTTTGCGATTGAGCAAGTTGTAAGAAGCAAGAAGTTGAGGAGGCGAAAGCGAAAAAGGGGTCAATGGGGGGCGCAGGAGAGCAACGAGGATGCAATTAAGAGGTCGTGGCTCTGCAGTGGCTCAGGGCGAGAGTTGCGAGTGGTGTGTTTGTCGAAGGAACCAGGTGGAGGAGCTTGGGTGCCTAGGGGGCTGCTG